GTTCCACCTGTATTGTTTTAAGATAGAAGTCTGATACAGATTCTTTTGTACTGAAGCTGCTGACTGACAATATTTTGCACCATGTTTAATACATACACATAACTACATAACTACAAAAATGTTCACTGTTGTATCCAGAAAACAGTGAGAGATGCAAAAAGAAATCACTTCTCAAATATTATTCTTTCAAATTATAACAAGCCCCAAGTATTATTTAAGATCATTGACTCGGTCCTTAATCCCCCGCAGACTGCGGGCATTGAACCATCTCCTGCTATTTGTGAAACCTTTTTAAATTTCTTCATTGAAAAAGTTTCCTCATCCAGAGCTTCGATCACATTTCCTGCCTATGACCCCTCCATCTTGGTCCCCTACTCTGCTATTTTTGATGGGTTCGAGCCTGTTACTATGTCCCTCCTACAAGAGATTGTTGGCCACCTGAAACCTTCTGGGTCCCCAAGTGACGCAGTCCCTCCTCGACTCTTTAAAGAGGTCTTTCCCTCTGTAGGTCCGTCTGACCTTGCGGTTATAAACAGCAGTCTGCACTCTGCAGTCTTCCCAAGAATGTTTAAACATGCAGTGGTCCAGCCTCTGATTAAGAAACCAGCCCTGGACCCCAGAATCCCTGCAAACTTCAGGCCTATCTCTAAACTGCCATTTCTTTCAAAAATCCTTGAGAAAATAGTTTATAGTCAATTAATGTCATTTCTGGAAAAGCACAATATTCTTGAAACCTTCCAATCTGGTTTTAAAAATCTCCACAGCACAGAATCAGCCCAACTGAGAGTTTTTAACGACATATTTTTAGCTACTGACTCTGGTGACAATGTCATTCTTGTGCTTTTAGATTTAACAGCTGCGTTTGATACAGTGGACCACAAAAATTTAATATCTCGTCTAGAACACTGGTTGGGTATTAGGGGTTCAGCACTGGAGTGGTTTCGATCCTACTTAGCAGACCGAACCTTCAGTGTCAACAATGGTGACTTCACATCCTCTTGTGCGTCCCTCCCATGTGGGGTACCACAAAGTTCGGTCTTAGGCCCTCTTCTGTTCTCTCTATATTTGCTCCCACTGGGGTCCATTTTACGCAAACACGGTATATCTTTCCACTGCTATGCAGATGACTGCCAGATTTACTTGCCCCTTAAAAAGAAAAATGCACCTTCCTTGGGACCACTTTTTAAGTGTCTTAATGACTTAAAGGCCTGGATGGCACTAAACTTTTTAAACTTTAATGAAATCAAAACAGAGGTGATGGTCTTTAATGGTACTGTTAGGACCCCACCCGTTGATTTGGGTTCATTGGCTCAATATACTAAACCAACCATCAAAAACCTTGGGGTAATAATGGATCCTGGGCTTAATCTTTATAGTCAGATTAGGGCAGTTGTGAAGTCGAGTTTCTTTCAGCTGAGGCTGCTAGCAAAAATAAAACCTCTTCTCTCAAGGCAACACTTAGAAATGATAATCCACGCCTTTGTAACTAGTTGGCTAGACTATTGCAACGCTTTATATATAGGGGTTAGCGCATCCGCTGTCACCCGCCTCCAGATGGTGCAAAATGCCGCCGCACGTCTTTTAAGTGGCACAAACAAACGTGAGCACCGCGTTACACTGGCTGCCCATACGTTTTAGGATCCATTTTAAAATTCTTTTATTTGTTTTTAAGTCTCTTAATGGCCTCGCCCCACTATACCTCTCTGAGCTGCTAGAGCCATACACTCCTACACTCCCTCTCAGGTCAGCTGACCAGCTGCTCCTGAAAGTTCTCAAAACTTCAATCAGGTTCAGAGGGGACTGCGCTTTCTCAGTTGTAGCACCAAAACTATGGAATGACCTGCCTCTCTACATCAGACAAGTTCCATCACTGCATGTTTTTAAAAAGCGCCTTAAAACCCACCTGTTCTCCATGGCCTTTGATCCCGCATAAATTGATGTCTTTTAACTTGCTATTACTCATTTTATTGACTAATTTTACTTATGTGCTGTGCCTTAAAATGTTTTATTGGTTTTATATTGTGTTATTTTATTGCACTTTATGTTTTTATCTTTATTGTTTTTATTTTGCTTTGTTTTATGTATATTTTATGTCTTATGCCTATTGTGCACTTTATTTTTAATTGTGTACAGCACTTTGGTCCATTGGGTTTTTAAAGTGCTTTATAAATAAAGTTGGTATGGTATGGTATGGTATGGTATGGTATGGTATCAGAGAACTTTATTTTGGTCAGAGTAAAAAAACCTTCTCAAGCAGCATTTTACCTGAAGTAGGTTACTCACTGTTTAACTTGCTCCCGAAACCTTGCTGTTAAAAGTAGATCATTATTAGGTGTGCAAGCCATCCAGTGTTTTATACCCCTGTGTAGACCATACTGACTGGGGCCAATGTATGATTTACTGTAAATCACGCGTCTTCTGATCAATCATAAATGGTCTTGCACTCGTATAGCACCTTTCTAGTCTCCAGACAGAATGTCCTTTTACACTACAAGTCACATTCACCCATTCACCCACAGGTGGTCAAATCTACTGTACAAGGTGCCACCCACTACCGATTTTTAGACATTCACACAGCCATCTGAAGCATTTGGGGGTTCAGTATCTTTCCAAGGATATGCGAACTAGAGAAGCCAGATTAAAAACTGCTGATCTTCTGATTAGTGGATGATCCGCATGTCCTGAGCCGCAGCCAGGGCACAGTTTGATTCAAAAGCTATCGCTACAAAGCCCTAATATTAAAATATGTCCTTCCAAAGATTATAAAACATTGAGTATCTGAGATATCATTAACTCGCCAACCTATAAACACCTGCCTAATGCCAAATCTCCTGCCAACACTTCCGGAGATCAAGGCATAGCGAGGTCTTCTTCACTTCTTCTTTATTTGATTCCTCAATTAGAAAGTTTATTGATTTACACTGTAAGCGCTTTTATGCTATTTACTGCTCTGTTATCTGTAGATTATTGGGCCACTTTAGCTCTTTAGATTTTTATCTCACTAAGATAAATGATGTGTTTAAGTGCAGAGAAAGTTTATTGTGTCCTTGAGAGAAAAAGTGACAGATACTAGATAACAGGTGTTGTTTTGTCCAGTCAGGACTGTGATTGCCTGCATTAACGTGCATGCCATTAGTTACAAAGGTTGGAGAATCTTCTCCATCATTATAGTGTCCTTTATTAACTGATAAGGTTTCCAGAAAGCCTTATGTAATCATGGACAATGGTCAAACAATTCAGTATCTCTACTAATTGCATTTTATATAAAGTTTATAACTCAGAGTGCTGATACATACTTTAATGCTGATTTGATCCTCCTCATGGAAAATTCCTCTGATGAAGAACTGTGTGTCACATTTACTGATAAGTAAGAATAATTTGGAGAACTTAATAAGCTCAGACATCATGATTTCAAGGGTTAGGACAGGACACATAGAATATTTAATGACTTACCATGACTAATATCTAATCACTGATATGGCAATCCATGCAATAGTTTTGTGAGTGAGCCATGAATGTTTTTGTGAATTTTGTGTGGATTCTTCCAGCAAATGTTGAGATTTTTCACAGGATAATTGTGAAAACTTTGAGCTGCTGGTGACACTAGATGAAAAATCAGCAATCCATCCAATCCTGAAACATTTCAGTCCGAACCAAAGTGGTGTAAAGACCGATCGACATTGCCATCCTTAGCGCCATGCTAATGCATGATGCATGTCTTTTGATTTTTTTTTTTTTTAGCTTTATGACCTTTTGATGCTACACAATGTCATCAATAATCAAAGAGTCATGGATAATCTGTCAGTCAGTTTTTATGCTCTGAAGTAGATAACACAGTGTAATCCCCCTCCCATGTGAACTCCCACATGCTGTTAGAGGACAATGTTACAACTGTCCTGCAGCCCACCATTAATCATGATAAAAGCGTATTATCTCCGACACTGATTATTGCTGACTTAAGTGTTATCACTGTCATAAATAAGGTTGTATGATAGAAAATACAAAGTGCAGACCAAAGCAACCTTTCCTCCAAGATGCCCGCTGTATAACAATATCTTTTGATTTTATTTCATTATATGAAGCAATGAGTATGGTGAAGGGAAACAGACATCGCCGTAGGGTACCTGCGTTTTGTCACTATGAGATTTTACAGAAATCACCAGTGAAACTGAAAAAAAAAACAGATAAATAAGAAAGACTTGCTTTAAACAGAGTAATCTCAGTAATCAGTAATTTGACAGGTTTAAAGATTAATTTATCAAAAGGAAGTGACATTATTTGAACCTGCAGGAAAGATTACAGGAAGGAAGCTGGTATCTACAGTTTAACACAACTGACTTCACCAGTAGAGAATTAGAGGTCAGATATTGACCCATGGGCACCTGAGATGTATTTTAAAGTCCCCCTCCACTCAGAATTTTGCTTATTGTTACTTCAGTTGGATGTTTGAGCTTCAATGTGCAAAATTATTTTATGTGATTTTTCACGTTTATCCATTAAAGAGAGAAAGTTTCTCCGTGCTCACCTCAAATATAATTCTAACATGTAGGCTATTAGCATATTTTGTGACATCACAAAAAGCCAACTGTGATGAGGAAACCTGAAACTTGAAATTAAGCTTTTTGGTGTAAAAAAAAAAAAACAAAAAAAAAAAAACAGCAGAAACAGATAATAATTCAAAGCAGAGTATTTTTATCTTATGTCTTCAAACACATCAGGAGGAGATCTATACTAATCCATCATTTCAGTAAATGTTACACAATTAATGAATCCCAGTTTGTTAAAGCATAGAACCAACAAATTAAAGGTATAAGATATTAAGAATCAAACACATCGCTCTTACAAAAACATCTGCAACACCAAAACAAGGCAGGTCCAAAACATGTATCGAACATTCTCCAGTAAATACAGTTGTGTTCATGTGCATGGTGACATAGCTGAACAGAGGGCTTGTCATTTCTGATATAATGACAAACAACAAACAGTGCCATCCAATGGTGGAAGGTCAAGCTGCACAAAGACCATCTCATCTCAGAGATGGTTGGCATAGCCCTCCCCGCTGTCTGCAGTATCAATGGTTTTGGTGCGCTGATTTTGCACAGAGGCATATAGATCAGACATGGTGGAGAGGTCGTCTGCATTGCCTTCATCTTCCTTCTCTGACTCCAGCTGCTCCTCTAAATGAACCACATCTGAGTACTGTATTTGTGGAGAGCTGCGGCCAGACTGCGGCCCAGGAGGCTTCAGGGTCAGGTTGGCATAGCAATCCTGAGTTTTGGACTGGAGGAGGAAATAAAAAAAAAAACAGTTTTGCAAAGTTATTCAATATGATCCAAAAAATCCTGTCCTTTCCTCACAGAGCCCCCCTGCACCAAACCTTCAACTGGTAAGCCCTCAGTCTTTGTAATTGATGTATAAAGACTCTACCTGTGATTCAGAGTTGACTCTGTGTTGATCCCTCACAGATGAAGCGTATTGAGGATCAGCTCCAGTGAACAAAGTCATGCCTGTGGAAAACAACATCACACTTTGAACACACACAGATAAAAGCTCTGAGAGAGACACATGTACAACGTACTTACTCGTCTGCATGTAGCTTATATTTCCATAAATAGGATTATCTTCCATCTGCCTCGAGCTCCGTCTGAAATTGGACAAAGATGACATTTGTTATTTTCATTTTCAGTCTGGCAGTGATGTCTAAAAATGCAGACCATTAAAGAAGAGATCATTTTGCCTCTTCCATCGAACAGTAATAGGCTACATACCTTCGTCTTGTCCTTGGTTTACACCTCCCTTCTCCTGCTGCAGTAAAAGAATAATACATTCACCTTCAAATACATGAAATGAATTTGTTTTCATTAGATTTTTAATGGGTGAATAACATAATTACCTGAGCAACATTTTGATACACAGCAAAAAATATTCCAAAATAGTGAGAGGACCAGTATTGCGCCGATACCCCCGATTAGCAGCTGTACATTCAATGGCTTACAAAAGAATGCTGAACCTGAAGAAACAGAGAAAAAGAATTATATTTATTGTGAATCATTTCAAATTATTTGAGAACCCTACCAAATGTTTTTAAACACACAAAAAAATTGTTAAAAAATAATAAAATTATATTGACTTCTCACGTATTTCAATTTTTATTTTCACTTATAAAGTTTAATTGGACAGGATACTGTCCTCAGTGTCACTCCTCACTGGAGTTTGCATGTGTTTGACCTGTGTGAAGAAACAGAGGCACCTAGAGAAAACCTTTGCACACATAGAAACAATATGCAAACTTCCCACAGAAAGACCCCATCTACTCTGTGAGGTGACAGTTACAACCACTGAACCACCACCGTATTGGCCTGCACACAATAAAGGAGGGTTATTTTAAGACGTTTCTGTCTCCTGCCAGTTGCATGCATAAAGACAGTTGCAAGCATATTATAACGATGCATAAAAGACACCGATACAGCATAAGGAGCAGCAACTACATGATACTGTGAAATCAAGAACACTGAGACTGATTAGTGTCCACATACTACATCAGTTTGGCTGGAAAATGTCATTTAGTTTTTGGTTCACCTGCTGCAATCCCAACCTCATTATGAGGTCAGATATGTTGTATGTAAGGCGCATACTGAAACTGGAGAAAGCTGCAGGCTCTGATTTTTGTCTTTCAAACCTGGGCCACAGCAGGGGTGACCTTAAGCCACAGATTTACACCATCTCTGTCCTCAGTGGATCTGCTGTCATCTGCAGAAGAAGATGTGGTTTGTACTGAGATGCTTTCACACATGAATGTGTGAACTGTGTTTGCACAGTGCAGTCGGCTTCTGTTGCAAGAATACATGCTCAGCAAAACATGTTGGATGCATTTCCTATTTCAGCAAACACTTGCAAAGCCTTGTTCACCGTGCTGACTGTTCTAACATTTCACTGAACCTATAATTCGCTTAAATAAAGTCAAATATTCAATCAATAAACTATGTCTTTGTCTTCACCACAGCATTTATTGGAAAATGCTTTTCAAAATCCTGCTTTTGTCCCATTTGTTTTAACTGTTGCATGCTGATTTTCTTAGTAAAGCCTCTGAACGTTGTCCTCTTACTGTCCAAATGTCATTAGTCCAGATGAGAAAAGAGAGGAATTGACGAAAATGTTAATACACTCATCTTTCCATATCAACAGATTCTTTTGACCTTGGTTTCACTTCTCAGACTGCATAAAGGCTGCCCTACAGTACCTTATTGGTGAGGTTGTCTGGAATACCTGCAAAGGATGGATGTTTTTTTTTTTGTAAAATATAATGTAATACAATGCAGAGATGCTTTCAGACATACTGTATTATTTCCAGATGTGTTTTCTCCTGTTGATCAACTCTTCTTATTTAAAGTTATCCCTGCAGAGTCAACACATACAGTACAGGCCAAAAGTTTGGACACACCTTCTCATTCAATGCGTTTTCTTTATTTTCATGACTATTTACATTGTAGATTCTCACTGAAGGCATCAAAACTATGAATGAACACATGTGGAGTTATGTACTTAACAAAAAAAGGTGAAATAACTGAAAACATGTTTTATATTCTAGTTTCTTCAAAATAGCCACCCTTTGCTCTGATTACTGCTTTGCACACTCTTGGCATTCTCTCCATGAGCTTCAAGAGGTAGTCACCTGAAATGGTTTTCCAACAGTCTTGAAGGAGTTCCCAGAGGTGTTTAGCACTTGTTGGCCCCTTTGCCTTCACTCTGCGGTCCAGCTCACCCCAAACCATCTGGATTGGGTTCAGGTGCGGTGACTGTGGAGGCCAGGTCATCTGCCGCAGCACTCCATCACTCTCCTTCTTGGTCAAATAGCCCTTACACAGCCTGGAGGTGTGTTTGGGGTCATTGTCCTGTTGAAAAATAAATGATCGTCCAACTAAACGCAAACCGGATGGGATGGCATGTCGCTGCAGGATGCTGTGGTAGCCATGCTGGTTCAGTGTGCCTTCAATTTTGAATAAATCCCCAACAGTGTCACCAGCAAAACACCCCCACACCATCACACCTCCTCCTCCATGCTTCACAGTGGGAACCAGGCATGTGGAATCCATCCGTTCACCTTTTCTGCGTCTCACAAAGACACGGCGTTTGGAACCAAAGATCTCAAATTTGGACTCATCAGACCAAAGCACAGATTTCCACTGGTCTAATGTCCATTCCTTGTGTTTCTTGGCCCAAACAAATCTCTTCTGCTTGTTGCCTCTCCTTAGCAGTGGTTTCCTAGCAGCTATTTGACCATGAAGGCCTGATTGGCGCAGTCTCCTCTTAACAGTTGTTCTAGAGATGGGTCTGCTGCTAGAACTCTGTGTGGCATTCATCTGGTCTCTGATCTGAACTGCTGTTAACTTGCCATTTCTGAGGCTGGTGACTCGGATGAACTTATCTTCAGAAGCAGAGGTGACTCTTGGTCTTCCTTTCCTGGGTCGGTCCTCATGTGTGCCAGTTTCGTTGTAGCGCTTGATGGTTTTTGCGACTCCACTTGGGGACACATTTAAAGTTTTTGCAATTTTCCGGACTGACTGACCTTCATTTCTTAAAGTAATGATGGCCACTGGTTTTTCTTTAGTTAGCTGATTGGTTCTTGCCATAATATGAATTTTAACAGTTGTCCAATAGGGCTGTCGGCTGTGTATTAACCTGACTTCTGCACAACACAACTGATGGTCCCAACCCCATTGATAAAGCAAGAAATTCCACTAATTAACCCTGATAAGGCACACCTGTGAAGTGGAAACCATTTCAGGTGACTACCTCTTGAAGCTCATGGAGAGAATGCCAAGAGTGTGCAAAGCAGTAATCAGAGCAAAGGGTGGCTATTTTGAAGAAACTAGAATATAAAACATGTTTTCAGTTATTTCACCTTTTTTTGTTAAGTACATAACTCCACATGTGTTCATTCATAGTTTTGATGCCTTCAGTGAGAATCTACAATGTAAATAGTCATGAAAATAAAGAAAACGCATTGAATGAGAAGGTGTGTCCAAACTTTTGGCCTGTACTGTACATGGGCATGATTTACGCCTTACATATGTATTATACCCTAGACCAAGTCATTGTTTTGCAAGTCACAAGTAAGTCTTACGTCTTTGCACTCAAGTCAGAGTCAGGTCCTAAGTCCTAAACTTCAAGTGTGAGTCCTAAACAAGTCATAATGCGCTCTTCACCAAATGTAATGCCATTTTAACAACAGAGTAAGAATAAATTAAATTTACAAATATCATGAATGCATTTTAAAATTCATACTTATTTGTTAAAACAAGTTCATTGTAAGTCGCTGCGCTTGTGTCTGTAATTTCAACCTGCATGTTTTGCACACTGCACTTTGCTTCCTGTTGACCACAGAATAGTTTTTGTAAGCAAACGAAATTATCTTTGGTGTGATTTTTTTCAACTGGCGCTAAGTGACGCAGTGTTAGTTCTTCATGGTTTTCTCCTGCTACATGACTGGATGCTGTCGGAGTGGTTCAAACAAAGTGGATCTGAAGAAATAAGTATCGAGAATGAATAGTGTTAATGTTAGTTGATTCAGGAAATGAATTGATTCTAAAACATTTAGTCTTTGGGCTCGGGAGAATATATCAAGTGTTTTCAAGTCAAAAGACTCAAGTCCAATTGCATCCAGAAGTCATTGGTTGGTGTTAAAGTACAAGTCGAGTTTCCAGTCTTTTTTGATTTGTCGACTACAAAGTAATCAAATGTGACTGCAGTCTGACTCGTTCGACTCATGTGACCATAGTTCACACCTCTGCTGATGTCTATATATACTTTCATACATATAAAACATCTCATATTATGATATATATACTATTATATGTTCACATGTGGTGGTGTGTGACTTCATCATAATGTGAAACCCATTCTGTGCATGATGTTGCATGTCGTCGCCTTTGGGCAGAGCAGCACCAACCTAATTAACAAACTGAGTGATACTTAAACAGGAGTCTGACTGTGTCTCACTGGCTGCCTTCATTTAGTCGCAGTTTCATCAGAAAATTTTGAAGATGAATAATTAGATCACATTGTTACCATGGTAGCACCCAGTGATGGAGGATTTATTTAGGTCCTTAACTCAAGTACTAATACCGCACTGTAGAAAATAATCTGTAACCAATTAAACACGTTATTTAAGTAAAATCTAAAATTTACTCATCTCCTGGCAACAGATTCAGCTCCTCAAAAAGAATATGGGTTGAGACTGCTGTAGGTTCTTGAATATCTAAATATACCATGTCACCTAACTAGTCGCTATAGTAACCACCGACTCAGTGTTTTCTTCTACCAACTGTGATAAGAGATACTTAATACATATGTCATAAATGTCAGCCCTTACATCAAGAAGGATCATGTTATGGCTCACCCTTAGATGACATTTTCTATATCTTAAATCAAGACTTACCACCTTCACGTGTCCCATTGCAACAGCTTTCCATGGCAACGAAGCTTTAATGTAGGATAATTCTCTCTTTCTTCCTCTGTGTTTCTCTTACTATACTGTAAATGTGATAAACAAGACTACAGCATCTGTTGCATGTTTATCCTCACACGGTGTGATGCTACTTGAGAGAAGAAGCTGTTTTTTTCAAAGGACTGTTAACAGGCTACAGGATGTGTGCTTTTGCAGAAAACCACAAACTTTTTTTAGACTGAGAATAACATCAAGGCAACAGGTTGACAGGCTGTGAACTGCTGGAGATTACCCTGAAAATTCCTTTAGGTATCTTTGAGAATACAAAAAGTAACATTTAACATATATTAGCCAGCAGCTATTTAAAGGTCCAGTGTGTAGGATTTAGGGGCATCTGGCAGAAATGGTATATAATATTCACAACTATGTTTTTATTGGTTCATAAGCAGCTAAAATTAAGAAGCATTGTGTTTTGCTACCCTAGAATGAGCCGTTTAAGTCTACATAGCGGGTCCTCTTCCATAGAGTCCACTATTATGTTTCTACAGTGGTCAAGGACAGACACATTTAAACTCTGGCTCTAGATAGGGCCAGTCCCATTTTCATTTTAGCCACCATAGTTCTCCTACATGCTTGGCACATGGGAGAAGTTTCACTTTTGCAACCTCACCACTGGATGCCACTAAATCCTACACACTGAACCTTTAATAATTATTATTCTCTCCTGTTTCAATATTAAAATATATCTTTTTTTATCTGGAAAAAAAAACATGGGTCCCTTTCATACGTCAACTCTTAATAAAACAGGATATTCAAATGTCACACAAAGATGATGCATTGACACCTCAGCCACATTCGTTGGTATCCAGTGACCACAGATCTCTATAGTATATACTTTTAACCTCAGGCATGAGCTGCCAGGGCAAAATACGCTGGTAAAACAAGACCAACAAGTGTGAAGAAAGATTCCATTATCAGTGTGATGCCCTTCACCTACAGAAGTAAGATAATGTTGATTTACCTTTTTTCATGATGACCTCATGAAACAGAAGCAAACCTCTGTAACCTGCAACACACTCTATACTAGCGACTGTGAAACAATTGACATCCTATAGGAGGTAGATATCTACAGAGATTATAGTTTATTATTAGTGTTAACAAGCAAACTGATCTCCTGGTTTTAAGTCTTGTACTGGTTTTGATCATATTGTGAGTATAATGTTTAATGCAGCACAGTCAAACCTGATTATGCAGCTCTCTGTATGCCTGGTTCTAATATTATCCACGTTGCTGTATCTGTTGGTGCAGCCATGTGTTTGGCATCTTTACAGCCATCAGATCCCTTTGATTTCTCTACAGACTGAGTCCTCTCAACATTTGAGGGTAAACCCAGTTTGTTCTCTAGAATCTGACCACTACAAAGCGATGTGAGATGCATACATGGAAGGGAATGATCAGAGAGACAGGGAGCTGGAATTTTACAAAGGTTGCGGCCATAAAAACACACAAGCCACCAGTTATTTACATCTTTTGCAAACAGCACATAAACAGTGTGATGTTCTGCAGCTCAGAGTCACTTCTGAAACCTGTTTATCTGTCAGTTGTTTTTGTCACCTCCACCCTTCAGTGGTTACAACAAAGACAGCTTTTCTTTATATATGGATTTAAATTTTTCAGTTTGACAGATGATACTACAGCCTTAACTACTGCTCTGTTTAAATGACTAGTTTTCTAATTATTTTCTTTTCTTTACTGCACCCTTTTCCACGTTTGAGATGACTGTCAGTTTAGTGAAGTGGCGACTCAGACCTGACACATCATCCAGCTGGTTCTCAGGTCTGTTTTTAACACATCCCACCCACCAACACTGGATGAGTTGTTTCTTGCAAGGAGTGTGGGCTACCATAGGTCAAGCCATGTCCACCTTCATATCATGATACATAGTTATTTAAAGAGATGGATCTACAGAGGAAGTTGTCAGGGTGTGTGTCTTTTTTAGGATTCATCAAAGGATATGTTGCTTACAGGACACACAAGAGCGTAATTAATATATCTGACATGCTGTAGTTAATAAAGTCTCTGTATGTCAGATTGCACAGCTCATCCTGGTGACAACGTGTTCTGTATTGTGACTCCGCTATTCTCTGCTCGTAACATGGTTTTATGGCAGTGTGTGAGATCAAAGGAATGGTTAGAGAAATAAAATGGGTGGCCCTCAAGTGGTGCAGTATATGTTATTGGTTTATGGTATGTGCTACTGGTGCAAATGAGCTACAGTGACATCTTGAGGGCCTTAGGTCCAACCACATCCTACGCTGTTTATATTTTCCTCCTCATGCTCTCAGCCAGTCTCTGAGCACTGATACAAAGTTTACACAAACTCAAGCAATTCAGAGACTGAATAATTTTTAAGCAGACTAAATATTGTGGAAAACTTGTTTTTATTTGAGGAGTGCAAGAACATTAAAGTTTTTTCTTCACAGTGACACTGCTGTGTGGTTTATCATAGCCTTTCTCTATATTTACAGGAATACCTAATGTCATAGTGATCTGATCATTAATGTGAATAGGCTCATACTGTGTATTGCTTGTTACAAGGTATTTTTTTAAACTCTATATAGGCTATTGGTCATATTTGTACATGAATGTTATAGTAATCAGTCAAAATTTAACTTTAGTAAAAGTAAGGAAGCTCTATGACGTACCCATCATGCAGCAGAGTAAACCCTGAGTTCATTGTAGTATTTCATTATATTGCTGATGCACTAACATGTAAAAAGGATTGCATTTCTGTGGCTGGTACAGCAAAAGCTCATTTCACATACTGTTGAGTACTTAAATCTACAATACTGCATTATTGTTCAAATACTTGTGCCTGACTTCAGTTAAAGGAGCAGTGTGTGGGATTTACTGGCACCTTGTGGTGAGGCCCTCACCCCTGTCTTTCAAAGCCTGTGGCAGAACCTATGATGGTCTTCAGGTAACGTAAAAAAAAAAAAAAAAAGAAAAAAAAAAAGGAAAGGCTTTTTCTGGAGCTAGTCTTGAGTTTTACCATTCTAGAATACAGTCGAAACATGGTGGTGCAACATGGCCAACTTTGTTAAAGAAGACCTATTCCCTATGCAAATTTTCTTTTCCTTTTATGGTGAACGTATGACCCACCCTGGCTATGTGCTCATTGCCTTTGTTGGTTGGGTTGGTTAGGTTTAGGCAAGAGGGGTGAGATTGTTTAGGGTTAGGGTAAGAATATCAGGGTAAGCCAATCAGAGGCAGAGTAACAAAGAGTAAAGAGGGTTATGCTTTTACCGTCCTGGGGAAAATAAATTTGCACTCCCTGTGCAGACAATATGATGGGCTCATTCTAAGTTGGTGAAAACAGAAGTCTTATTTTACTTATTTTAACTTATAGCTCTAACTTTAACTGATTTTCAGGTCTTTATACAATAATATACATGTTGATGTTTCACTGTTTCATTATATTTAATTTCTGTCAATAGATCACCCTAATCCTACACACTGGTCCTTTAAGTACAAGTATCAGTAGCCTCAAAAGGAAATACTCAAGGATTTTCAGGCAGGCAAGAAGGTCGTTCCTGTCATAGTTTCCAGAATATAAACAACAGTAGACATAATGCAAAGGTTGACTCTATTGTATGGGCTTGGAATCTTGCAATCTGCACGCTTTTCTACATTGTGGCAACAACAAACCCATATGTCACACAGATGATGACACAAGTGTAAGCCTATTTCACTATGCAACAACATTACTAATGTGAAAGCTGAGTGGCCGTGAGGATTCATTTCACAGCAGATATTTTCACATGTCATATTATAGTACCATTAATATATTATTATGATATTAAAAGCAGGTGTATTCAGTAACATTAGTGATAGCTGCATTCACTGGAATTGCTTACTGGGACACTTAATGTAACTGAACCACTGTTAATGTTATCCATTTCATCTGTGCTTTTTCTACAACGATGAGTCAAAATGTCTGCAGTGAAGAAGATCCATTGTAACTTATATCAAAAAGCCCCAAAATTCCCTTACCTTGTTGTCTTGTTTCCTCAAGTGTCTTACTCTTGAATGACCCTGTGGGTGACCTTTGACCCCCATTCTGAAAACTTCAAAGTGATGCAGAGATCAAGAAGTGCATTCTAGCCTCTCTTGGCTCACCATTGAGCAAAGGATTTTTTTAACTATGGCCACATTTTTTAGCTGCATTATTAACTTAAAAAATCCAGTATTTTTACTTGAGCAAATAATTTATTGCAATAACACACATAAACACAACACTAGATTTGCCAGTAATGGTCATATTGTGGTTCCCAGTCTAAGGACTAACTCATTGCAAAAAACTCTTATTTACAGAGCCATAACATACTGGAATAGTTTACCTTTCAAAATCCGGCTAATTAAAAATAAATTATCCTTTAAAAAGGACATACAGAGGTATCTGCTGGCCTGTAGATGAATGTGAAAAGTAGAAGGTATGCTCTGTGCGTGTTTACAATATTGTGTGTTTCTACAAGTTGTGCTATTTTTTCTTTGTCTTTTCTGACTTTTAAAAATATATATTTTTTCAATATATTGATTATTTAGTATTCTACTTTAATGTATGTAGCCTACAGTGTACCCAATTTTGAACTGAAATGACTGAATGTAATTCCTTTTTTCTTCTTCTTCTTTATTTTCTTTTTTTCTGTTTAACTTTCATATAAACATGAGCTTTGTATTTTATAATGTAAATTGATGAAATTGTATGTTTTATATGTAATGTAGTGTAATATATTGTATGTAAGGTGTGGACCCCAGGAAGACTAGCTGATTGCCAAGGCATTCAGCTAATGGGGATCCTTAAAATAAACATAAACATAAAGTGGCTGATGGTATGCCCCTAGCGGTTCAGTGGTGTTAGCCGATCCCTAGAGTGATATGCCACTCGTGTTCCACCGGCACACACAGTTTCCAAATGGCAGATGCAGTTGTCAGACTGTCACAGCAGCACCACCCCATGATACTCTACCATAAACTGTATTTTTTTTCTGTCTATATTGACAAGCTAGTTCAACATAGCGCTGTAATTAAAGGAATGTATAATTAAAGTCCATTATGTTCTTGAGATATGTGCAATGCAATTGAAATGACAGTAAAGTAATTTTATGGATATGTTTACCAATGTACCCTGAAACTAATATTAGAGCTAGTTTTATCTATTATGGCTGTTGTTAGCCTAGCCATTGTAGACAGTCTGGCTAATTGATAACAGAAAGTAAGAGACAGCTGATAATACTGGTGATTGTATTAGTTCTGGCATGTTTGATGTTCATAGTAGAATGTGATCACACTGTACATCATATTAAACTCCAAGTCATTAACCAGGCATTTGCTTTATTATTTATTATTCACCATAAATGCTTTGAATAAATAAGCAGTTGCCATTTCTTGATCTACTGAAAATTCAGTAGGCCTACCAACATTTTTTAACAGTGTTCTCATGGGAAAGAGCTCTAAATTGCTTTCAGCACCAACAAAACACAGCGAAATGTTTATTTAGACAGAAATGATGGTGCATTGAGCAGCCTGTTGTGTTACATATGTGTACTGCCTTTTAATACGGTGGGGTTTAATTCAGTTTGATTCATTCACATTTTATTAGCATGGCAAACTGTGCGCACAATAAGTGAAGATCTACCAGAATTTGGTTTATAAACACGTCGCTGCCTATAGACACACTTTTGACACACCTACCAAATGAGAGAAAATGCATCTCAAAGCCCATTGCACACTGTTTCACACCATTTCAAAGAAACATGTCATTTAACCAGGAAACCAGAGCAAAATGGTGCACATCATTTTGAGACTGAATGTGCTCCTAATGAATGTCGCAACCAACTTGGGCCCCAATAAACAAAGCTTTTATCACAGATAAAAAACAATAAATTGTGAAGACAGTAAAGCCTCCACTAAAATAGCATTTTAAGTCTTGTGTGTGATTTATTCTTCAGGGATTTATACTTCGGGATTCATCCAGTTTTCATATGAGCTGAGGAAATCTCCACTCGTCGCTAGGCTAATTTATATAATGTAAAATGCCATAGGCTGGCGCTAATAAAGTTAGCATTTTGCATTTGTTTGGAAAATGTGTTTAATATGACAGTTGTTTCATCGTTGAATGTTGTGAGTTATAGGAGCCAAATTGTGTGACGTTACCTTTGTTAAATGTTGCTGTTGTCCCTGGTTTTATATGAGAACAGGAGAAGATCGCTAGTTGCTAGGCTAATTTATACAATGTAAAATGCCATAGACTTGTGCTAATAATGTTAGCATGTTGTATTAGTAAGGAAAATGTGTCCAGATTAGATGAAGACAAGTGTTTGTCTGTGACTGCTGCGAGTTATAGTGAAGCCAATTTGTGTACTTGTGTTTGAAATTGTCTCAATTAAGACATGTTTAATGTGTGTTTTATTTGTGTTTTGAATCAACTAAACTTTACAGCACTTCACAGAAACCTCCACCGCTGACCAGTGTTTTGGAGGTGTAACTGCAGAGTGACACAGACACACCACCACACAAGTAAAATGCTCACAAGGCGACAGGCGACATGTGTAGGCTAACCTATGAATCCCACGTTATTTTTGAAAAGCTGCAGCTCTTGATAGAGTTTAATTTTATTTTTTTCTGCAACTAAGTGACCAAAGAAATATTGCTGACTAATGACCTTTCTGGTCGACCACCGTTTTAGGGACAACCAACCCTGTTCTCCCCTACAGTGTGCAAAAAGAGGCATAATATGCAAAAGTTATGAACAAGTATCTCAGCTGTCACCAGTATTTAATAAGGACTAAGTCTGTAAAAGAGTAAACTGACGGACTGACGGTCTGTTGTCATTTTTTACCCAATATTGTTTGAAAGCAAAAATGTGGACGAGTTGTTACACGTTTTCCAACACTAACTTCCTGCCTGAGGAAACCTCACCTCAAAGCTGGTGCTTTAAAGCAGACTGGTCCCTCCCATAGACAGTCCTCCTGCAGACAGAGCTAAAACAGGCGGGTCTACCGTCCTCGTGTCCCGCCCCCTGTCCCTGTACTGTCCTCTCCTCTCCAGAACGCTGATGTGTTACTAACTCCAGCTTCAACTCCAACAAAAATGTTCAATTTCGGGTCCAAAATTCTACTGCTGTTCCTCCTGGCCTTCCCCTGCGGGTTAATATCCATCGGTAAGTTACATTTCTCCTCTGAAACAGACTCTTTATGTCGTCGCTTTACTTCAGCAACACTTAGAAAGTTTTAAGACAGCCTCACATATTGACGTGGCATAGTGCCGCAGCTTTTCACCAGCAGCTGGAAGTCTTCACCAAAACTTTACCATCGTTAATGCATGCACGTTTTATCCATGTTCATTCATAGGAACAGGAAAGCTGTAGCTCGTCTGTTTTACTCTGAAAATGGTCGTCTGCAGCCAGCTGCTGCCGTACAAACGCGAAAAAAAGATGTAAGCCATTAAATGTGGAGTTAAATTTGACTGTGTGAGCTTTAGAGGTGATTTTAGGCAAAGTCTAAAAGTCCTTATGGATGCAGCAGCAGTTAACGGCTCCCTCAGGCTGGGACACGTCACCATAGATAACATGGTTACTCTCACTGTGTGTTTGTAGGTTTCTTAAACTTTTTTCCCGCTCACTTACATTAAAACTGGGACTTTTATTGTGCTGCTCTCATTTTATACCGACAACAAATGTAGCCAGTTTGCCTGCAAGGAAATACCAGGCTATAAGGAGAATGTATCAACACGTACAATGTGTCAGAAAACTCAGCCATTCATGTTACAGTGCATTGCATGTACGTTACTACCAGGTTAATCCAGCTGATGCATCACTTTAAAACGTTTTACTCATTGATTTGTTTTCTCAGTGTCATTATGGTGTGTAATATTCCAGCTACATATTTTACATTTTCATTTTTCTGGAGAAAAATCACTTTCTTTTCCCAGCTTCTCTTTTCTTTGTCCACAAACAACCACTTAAAACACCTTTATGCTGACATAAATTGTGGTGATCCTTAGGGATGACTGTTGGCATTTGCGGAAGATAGAGACACTCAAAAAATTGAATGAAAGAAAAAAATTAGTGAATGTGCACATAATGGTCCATTTCGCTCACTAAAAACGAGCCGTCAGAGACAATACACCGACTCAAACAGTTTTAACACCAGGAAAACACATTTAATCAGTATTATGATGGGACAAACTTTCGCTCACATATACCGTTTTGTCCTCTTCCCCATGCAGGCCATGTCTCTGCAGACCCAGACTCTGCTGAGGACATCGCTGAGGACACAGATGCTGCAGTAGATGAGGAGGAAGATGATGAAGAGGTGCTCATTGAGGAAGATCAGATACAACCCTCGGTATGTTTGTTTCATCATACAGCAGCACAGCAAACCATAGGTTTACCTGTAGATGTTCAAGTTACGATGTCATGTGATGTTCCTCCTCAGGAAGGAGACGAAGACGATGCTGACGAAGCAGGTGATAAACAGTTAGCGTCTCACCCTGATGCCGACACTACCATCATCTTTATGACCGGAGAAGGTTGGTTTTTTTATTCAGTGAACTTCCAAAGCTTTAACACTGTGTCAAGACATCATCTTAGACTGCTTTTGTTTTATGCGGTGACTTATCAGGCAATACTGTGGCTTTGTTAGTACATCTTATAACCTAGTCCCTTTGTTTTATTCATGTTTTTTAATATATTGATTATTTACTTGGATTCTTCACACATTTAGAATTCCCTGCCAATGAAATTGTGAGATTCCTGGTGGGTTTCACCAACAAAGGAAGTCAGGATTTCACCGTTCAGTCGCTGGAGGCCTCCTTCCGTTACCCCCAAGACTTCCAGTTCTACATCCAGAATGTAAGTTTGATCTCAACATTTAAAAAAACACCCAGAAACATTTTCTTTATCTTTTGACTTAATCTGGAGTATGTAGTAAATAAAACCATTAAAGAAATATGTCACCCCCCAAATGATCATTTGTATAATTACCCACCCTATGTTTACCGGAATTTGTGGTGAAAACTTTTCTCACATGCCTCCACAGTGAACAAAGAATCCAAAAACAAAGAAAATTCTTGATGAATCTGAGTCACAGGGGGCTGCGTTTAACAGCAGCAAAACTATATCAAATTATCCATTTACTAAGGGTGTAATGATCCCTGGATCTGGATCGATATATCGAGTCAGTGTTTATATCGTCATCTTTAGGATACGCTTTTATTTTGAAAGTCTGTGTCATCATCAAACAGCGGGAGGCAGATGGCAAGCAGCCAAGAGAAAGACGATGAAGCTAACCTTATCTACTCGGGCATGAATCAGCAGTGTGGAAATATTTTGGATTTCTGAGAAAAAGGGGTCAACAGACAGAGCACATGTCATACATAAACCATGCTGTTGTGACATAAAATACGATGTAACATCACCAGCCTGGACGGGCATCTCATTCTTCTCATTACAGCAACATTAAAAACTCTGTTTCAGCACTGTTCGGCTGAAAAAATGTGCATGCAGGCTTAAATTCAACTATGCTGTTCTGTATATTTACAACGGACATGCAGTGACTTAAAACAACGGCAAGTAAGAAAAAGTTTAAATAAGGCATGTAATTTATGAAGTTATAAATGGAGGAAAGTCTGCTAGCTGCTAGGCTAATTTATGCAACGTAAACATTCAGCCTATAGTTGGTGACTAACAAAAAACGACATGTCTGTGAACCTTGACAGTTTTTATTGAGCTGAATTTTGTACCTTTGTTAAACAATATTGTTATTATCTCAAAATTGTATTGGCAAATACCGTATTGTTGTCCAAAGAATTTATATGATATCGCATCATGATGAAACCAGTGATTTACACCCTGACCATTTACAAACTCTAAACCCCAACTTCCACATACTCTGTCTGCGCCGTGCCACACTGTGTAGCAGATACGCTCCCATTCTAGTGAATAGCTTCATTTCCACAGCGCGCGTTGTGCAGCATCTCTGGAGTGTCCCAGAAGTGCGCCAGGTCTATTTTTCAGTGACTGCGCATCCATAGCACATCAAGCCACGTAGCTAAGATCGCACCAGACCGGAAACAGAACGCACACAGCATCCGGTATATTTCAAAATACAGCACAATGCATGGACTACGGATTTTAAACTCTCAATTTTTTAAAAATCACATCACATCCTGTCGCACAAGTTGTCAGTCAGTGCGAGGGTCCGAGGAAAGATGGACGAGGAGAAACTCATAGTTAAAGTGGAAAACCATAGTATTTTGTATGACACCACGCATCCTTTCTACAAGGATACAAACCGAAAGGAGAAGACGTGGTGTGAAATTGCAGGAGTTTTGGGAGTGAATGGTGCTTTATATCGTGTGATTTCGCAGTTCCCACGTGTGAGCTTGTGGCTCTGCTACATGGCGCGGCACTCCAGAAACGCACCCAGTAGGTGACGGTACACGCTGTCGGTCGCTCCAGATGCGCAGACAGAGTATGTGGAAATTGGGGGTAACACAGCTCATGCAGTATAATCCAAGTCTGATATACCCAGTCGTATGCTCAGTGGTTCTCAAACAGTTGCATTTTCACTAAAACTGTTATACTTACAACACTTAAGCATAAACAGCACAGGCCTGCTGCTCCTCTTTGCATGAGAATGTTTATGGATAAGTGTTTGAAATTTTAAGGTTTTAGCAAAAATGTGAGTTTTGGAAGTACGGAGCATACGACTGGATAAATGAGACCTGGACTGTACTGTGTTACTTGTGTGAGAGTTTGTACATTGGTTAAAGTGTTGCTGTTGTTAAACGCAGCCCCCTATGGCTTTATTTCATCAAGAATTTTATCAGTTTTTGGATTCTTCTCTCACTATGGAGGCATGCAAGAAAAACACAGTTTTCTTCATGAGTTGTTGATATACAGATGAGTATTTGGGGGGTGGAGTATTCCTTTAGGCCTGTGTAAATTGAAATTTGTTACAGTATCGCACATGCTCACACACTGATGCTCACACACTGCACACCACATAGATGTCTAGCCTTTTTTATTTTTAGCAGAAGACAGAAAAATCCACAACATTATCATTTATGCCTCTACTGTATGTGTATGTTTGTATTGCCAAAAAAAGTCATCTTTTTAATGATGTATGTTTTGTGTAGTTCACAGCGTTGCCTCTGAGCACTGTCGTGCAGCCCCAGGCTCAGGCCTCCTTCGAGTACTCCTTCATCCCAGCCCAGCCCATGGCGGGTCGCCCATTTGGTCTTGTTATCCTCCTCAACTATCTCGACTCTGAGGTAAAAATGTTTGTCATTATTTATTCATGAAAAAATATATGTGGTAATGGTGGTCGGTGCTCGAGGTTGGTTCAGGTGGACATGTTAGAGAAGAGGCAGTGTGATGATGTAAGGCAGTGACTGTCAAAATGCTCTGCAGGAAGGTTTTTCCACAGCCCACCTCAAATTTTGATGATTCATGAAAATGGATGCCTGAGGAAGCCATTGTCAGCGCAGCAGTGTGTCTTTATATTCTTGATACAGCTTTATTTTTTTCCTATTTTTTGTGTAATTGGGAGGACAGGCAGCTCCTTACTGTCATTATTTTCTGCCTGCTGAGCTTTGACTGATGTTTCTGTGCTGTTAACAAATGATGTGACAGATGCTGACTCATAATGGCATTCAGATTGTTATAGAGCAGTTCTAAAAACTTGAGAAAGTTCAAGGTACTTGTTTACGAAGAGTATTTGCTTACTAGTTTTTTAATTTTCTCTTCAGGGCAGCGTGTTTCAGACTGCCATCTACAACCAGACTGTCACCATCACTGAGCTAGAAGAGGGACTGGACGGAGAAACGTAAGGCTTTCTTCTATGTTCTATCACGTACATAATTGTAAATGAAAATGTAGAAGATGTTTTTGCTCTTTCATATTATCTCACTGCAAAAATGAAAGGAAGCTCACAAGCTATGGAGTAGAGCCAAACTGACTGAATCAGAGTAGGCAGCAGGACATATTAAACCAATCTCAGTTCTGTGGAAGTGGTGTATAAATCTAATTATGTTTTCCACCTATTATTTATCCAAAATGTCCCTTAAGGCTACATCCAGCTCTCTAAGGCTTCACAATACCAGCTTTCCTAGACTATTGCACATGTAAGAACCTGTAAAAGGAGGTGTGAAATTGGCACAAAGAGATTAGTTGTCAGAATTGTGCTGCTGGTGCAAGATGCAGAAACTGTCACCAGCAAATTATTCAAGCCAAACAAAGTGTTTTGCATCCTAAAATCTCCAAATGGACTAGGAAATGTTGCAGATACAGATCAGTTGAAGGTCATTTAAGGGCAGTCTTCATGCAAAAAACTTGCAGTTGCTGTTAAAGGAAGCTATTTGTTGGAATATAGCTATTTTTGATGGCTTTCTTGTGCTGCATCATAATTAGCATACATTATTTAGCAAGTAGACCACACAATATTTGAGAGGTCAGAAATGTTTTCATACCACAGTCGTCAACTGAGCCTGGTTGCTACAGATATTTAGATAAATAGCATGGCAGAAAAAGCATTGGAAACATATTTAGCTCTGAACTGTGACTATGCATTGTAAAGGGGATGTAAGTAAATTAAACTGCAAGTTCTTATTTGTGTCTTAAGTCATCACTGACAGAGTATGGTATGCAAAAACACCTACTGAACTACTGAACTCCTTTTGTGATTTCTGTACACTGATTAAAGAAATCATTTTGTTTGTTTCTGCAGGATGTTCATGTACATCTTCCTGACTGGACTGGTGGTCCTGATGCTCTTTGGGATGTACCAGGTCCTGGAGACAAGGACGGTATGTGTTTGTCTTCCATCAGCTGCTTTATTTCTTATGTTTGGTCTGCTGTACTTGGGTGATTGATGAGTAATTTCCTCTGGTTTACCAGTGCAAATGAAATAAAATATTGTTGTGTATAAAGTCAAAAGCAGCACATTAACAAAGAGTGTCATCCATCCTCCTCCCTGTACAATCTGCACCATTAAACAGGGATTAATTGCACTTTAAACAGGCTTATGGATAAAATGGTTTAAAAATGAGACATGTCAACTTTTGTTTTGCAGAAAAAGAGACTCCCAGTGAAAATAGAGAAGGGCACTGGTGGGATGAGCGATGTGGACATCAGCTGGATTCCTCAGGAGACCCTCAATGTCATGAGTATGTTCATTTTTATCCCCGGCTGTCACAAGTAATATCAGGCCATACAGAGAAGTGATTTTTCTCATATTACTGTAACTCTCTGTCAGAATGCAGCAACATAAATCTAATCTTTATATGCTGTCTTCCAGACAAGGCTTCCCCTAAAGCATCTCCACGGAAACGAACCAATAGGGCAGCTGGAGCAGATCAATAAAAGCCGTCTGTTTCCTTCTATCATCATACTGTCCGTCAGGCTTTCAAAGCTCATTTCCTCACCACAGTAACCCGACTCTCATTTACAATGGATCAACATTTCCAGCCCGAGCAATGTGTTAGAGATGTCTGTACGGATCGCAGCCTCTCATCCTGCTGCACGGCTGGATCCACGACAACACGGCATCCTGGACTCTACTGCTCTGATCAGAACAAGACCATTTAGACACTAACAGGACTGAACTACAGTTCATATTTAAAGGGACTTTTTTATCAGTATGTTTGTGTGAAAGGTGATAAGAGATGAACCAATAAGTAATTAAACTTTTTTGTATGGAAAAAAAACGAAGGGATTTTGGTACAAACTGCCCCGCAGAAAGCTAAAGATATGCATTCCTGTTTCATCTGTTAAAGGAGATGAATCCCCCTCCTCTGGATCATGTGAACACCACTGTGCCTTATCTGTGTTATATCTGCAGTGCCCTGTGAAGGCTTTACGTTAAAAACAAGTAGATGTAATTGATTCAGAGGTTTCCCACTGAGTTGTTTGTCAGTGGGGCAAAGGCAGCTGCATTTACAAGCAATATTAAAACAGTGTTCTCTGGAGGTTTCTGCAGGTTAGTTTACCTGGATTATTTTTTTCACCTGCTGTTGTGATGTAACCGTTCTTGGTGGAGCAGTCTGTCAAACTGCTAGTTTTGGAAAAAAATATGTTTTCAAAAACAATAAAAGGGTGAACAAAATATATTTTGTCCCACTGGCTGCTCTCTTATTTCTATTTTTTCAATTATTATATTGTCTGCATTCTATAACAGTTTGTGATTTGTGCAATCGTGTTTTTGCAATCTCCAGTACACAGCATCAGGAAGATGACACCAGTGGATGCTGTCACTCAGACAAACGTGAAAGGAACTGGCATGTTAGGCTGCAACTCACAATTATTTTAATAATGGAATAAATGTTTGTTCTACAAAACATCTAAAAACTGAAAAATGAGGATGTCACCAGATGTCTTATTTAATCCAACCAACAGTCCAAACCCCCAATATGTTTAATAATAAAACAAGAAAAATAAGATAATTCTCATGTTTGACAAAGTGGAACAATCAGTTTTGCTTTTAATGAATTAACCAATTATCAGGAAATATTTCTGTTGATCAACTAATCGATTAATGGACTAATCGTTGCAGCTCGTAAGACATTTTGAGTCACATTAACCCCACATTTTTATGGGTCCATCAATTCCTGGTCAGAAGAAAAACTATATAGACCTAATTTGGCACAAACTAATGAAAAATCTAATAAGAGAAAGTGTTAAGTTGATCTACGTCAACAATTTCTTCCATTTATTTGGAAGAAATTGTTGATCTACGTCAACAATTTCTTCCAAATAAATGCTGAAGTAGTGTAACCTAGAGCGGTGGTTCCCAGCTGATGTGTTGCAGTCCAAAGATGGGACCTGGGTCCATTGTGAATGGACTGCAAGTTACTCGCAAACATGTTTGTGAAAACACACTTTTTTTTATCTTAAAAAAAGCTTTATTTTGGTGGGGTTTTTTCTGCACTCTGGTGCCTTTTCTACTTTCAGAGTACAAAAGTAAAATCCCAATATGAATCAGTGTTTAATTGTGAATTAGTGCGGTGGTTCCCAGCTGGTGGGGCATGGTCCAAAGTGGGTCGTGAGTCCATTCTAAATGGACCGCAAGGGACTTGTGACACTTTTTTTTAAAATAAAAAATAAAAAAGCTTTATTTTGATGGGTTTGATAGGATGAACATGACAAGTTTGCCAAAAAACACACTTTATTCTGAGGTACAGTGAATTTCCAGCACAGAGCTTTTATATTGAAGTGCTGTTTTCTGCTGTAGAGTGAGTGACTAACAGACAGCTATTTGACAGAGACAGCAAACTAGCTCAACAACATGGCCAAATGCAAGTATGACACTGAATGTATTAAACTGTGTCGCCTCGAACTAATGACTAAAGAGAAATCTGGGCCCGGTGGCTGAACCAGTTGGGAACCACTGACCTAGAGAGTCTCTCAGCCAGTGAACAGCAGGTCGGCAAAACATGCAATGTGCAATTTGTCTCTAAGTAAGCATATAATTAGATAGAAATGATGAATAAATGCTTACTTGGTTTTAATGTGCCAGTTTAAAGGAAATGCATCTGGAAATCAAAAATGTATTGCTTTCATTTGGTTAACTTTATGCTGCTATTTTGTGATTGACTGGATACATCAATAAATAATACAGCGAGCCAAATAAAAAAGGAATGGAAAAAGAAATTTACAATTAGAAATAATATATATATTCCTTTACCTCTATTCAGTTGATTATTAAATTAAAACTGTATTAGTTTTACTTTTTATTTTTCACTTCCTTAGCTACTTTTTAAAATTCCTTACTGTTTTGGTCTTTGCACACATGTAGAAAAATAGAACTTTATTCATCCGTGAAGCAAAATTCAACTGTCCAGTAGCTCATGAAAAACAACAACCACACTTCCCATCATCAACAATAATACAGTGGTATTAAAATTTAAAATTAAATAAAACAAATTAAAATAAGTGCATGAATAGAAATTAAAAATCAAATTAAAGTTGAATTAAAATTGTTCATTCCACAGTCCAGTCCAAACCATTCACATGAACTCTATTTCCCCAATGCAACACTGTACTTCTGTGATAATGAGATGGGTGTCTACATACTTTGAAACTCAAAACAACACTCTCAGAACTTTATCTGTATTTACCCATATAATTAGTACCAAATTATGTTGGTCTTCTCAAGAAATGATGTTGATGTACCCAGTCTCTGCATGGTGGGCTTGTCATACATGTGTTACAGCATGTAGCTCCTACACTGAGATAACAGATTATAATCTATAAAGTCAGACAAAGTGTGTGCTAATGAGCAGGGGCATCCTGAGAGTCCTCCCTGTGTTGCAGGAGCATTGCAGGGAGGTTGCGCGGAGGTTCCTCTCCTCCTCAGGGAGGTGAGGGAGCTGTCCGGTGCTGAGGGGGGAAGATGAGCTCAGCGCGCGCCGGGGGGCAGGTAACGTCAGCAGTCGGCCGGAGCTGGGAAAGACTGTATATACACACCCACCAAGTGTTTATCGCCGCTTAATCACTGATACACACCGACACACATTAATAATGGGCAGCTAATCAGCTCTGTGTGACTCAGCTGCGCTTCTTTATTCCGATTCATGAGTGCCTCGGCAGCATCCCGCGCCCTCCGCTTGGCTTGAAATGGGATGATATGGGATTTTTCATGTCGACGAAGATCGGAGGGATTCTTGCGTTTGCCTTGGGTAAGGTATCTCGAGCTGCTCCGTGGGTTTTATTTTGGGCTGCGAGCCACTTTGGATGGTTTGACACAGAAAAAACTGCCTTCCACCTTCTTTCTTATCTCCCTGCATCAGAAATGTCGCGCTATGATTGTAATCTTTATTTATCTCCATCACTGATCCATGACGAGACCTGCACGGTGGCCAACAGCTTGTAGTACACCCATCGACGATAGATACTGCTGGATGTCTATACTTAGATGATAGTGTGCAAGCTTTTGGACACGCAAGATCCAAAAATAAAAACCCACAAATTGATTTATTCTTCACAGGTGCCACTTTTACTAATATTAAGTGCTTTCACTGTGCGTATTTTGCATTGTCTTGTTGGGAAATATTAAATTATGGACATGTTTGAGCATTTAAATTGCAAATAGCTCTGAAGAGAGTGCTGCACCCCATGTGGAAGGAATGCAGAGGTCTGGACTATTATCTGCCAACATCTGTTTCACAGCCCACCGCCCACTGACATCTGTGTGAAGTTAAGTTCAGATGACATGATTGCAGGATCTTGAGATTCCCAAATTAATATTAAAACACTTGCATGTATTTATTAAGCAACGAAATCACACACGTTTTGAATCAAATATTGTGTTTTTGTGGAAAAAAGTTAAGCTGCATTTGAAGTAGGGAGGTGGTAGAGAAGGAGGAATCAGACTGAGACTGCTTCACACACAAGAAAAATACCACATATAACAAATATATTATAATAACTTGTAATAAAATCTGGTCAAATGAGCCACCCTGTGTCTGTTTTGCAGTATTCCTGCCCCTGATGGTGTCAGGAGACTCAGATGCAGACGTGAAGTGTGAGAACATTTATAAGGACTTTTCTGATTGCGTCCTGGAGCTGGGAGAGAGCATGGACAACTATCAGGAGAACGTGACCAGCGAGAGGGGAGTGGCAGCTGTGTGCAGGTGACAATAACTTTATCAGTCAGTAAGGGAATGTGTGAACAGTATGCAGCATCCATGTGTGCACATGGGGCATCCCCCAGTAGAGTGTGTGTGTTTTTATTTAAGCTGATTAAATCACTTTTAACCAGAGAAGGAGAGAAGTGAAAGACAAACTCAGCTGTGATGGGTTGGAATATAAAACTATGTACAGCTCTGTGCACAGAATTGTGTTTCAGTTCAATTTGAATGTAATAGTGCATGATTTAGTGAATGATTACAGACAGACACAGTATGAAGTCTGTATCTCTTGACACAATACTGGAGAGAAAGAGAGCAGATGCCCTGATCTCAGAGGGAGAATAGAGAAATGAATGGTGCTGAGACACTGAGCCATTGTACTAAATAATTTATGACTTTGCTGCAGCAGTAATGAAATTCTGGGGACATTTTTTGTCATTGTTACCGAACGCACATTACAACCCGAACACAGTATATTGAAGACAAAGATTTACACATAAGCCTTCCGCTGAAAATTGCCCTCTTGCAATATCATCTGTGATATTGTTTCACTCTCTGATGCAGTTGCCATGGTAATTAAAGCTCAGTTTGACTTACTTGAAGCCACCGTAGCCGTCTGAGTGATAGATTACTGGCAAGTGAATTAATCCACAACAGCCAGTGCACGTCTGCGTGCTGTAGCCGGGATGAATTCTGAGCGAAATGGCAGACGCAGCGTTGATCTGATGATCCTTTGTTTGCCACAGCCACTGGGAAGCTTTCCACACATGTGCCCTCACGGCGCTGTCCGACTGTCAGAAGGAAGTCAGCTCCATCTGGGAAACTCTGAGGCAGGACTCCAGGAAGATTCGCTTCCAGGGGAGTCTGTTCGACCTGTGCAGCCCGAGCTCCTCGCCAAGCATAAGTTCACCTCTTGCTGCCCTTACCCTGCCACTGATAGGCGTGTTGATCGTGGCTGGGCCCAACTGGTACCCTGTATAGATGGGGGTGAGGTGGATGGGAGGGGTGATGAGGAGAACCTCAAATCCCCCCTGGGTTCAGTCCTGCTGAGTTCAAACTTAAAGCCAAGGATTTAAGAGAGTGTTTTAATAAGGATTATTTTGACACAGAGCCACGGAGGTCTGTGGTTAAGCCAATCAATATTTGCTGTGGTGAATAATGTTTGAAATCTCTTCAAACACTTCAGCTTGATCCTCCCTTATGTCCAGAAACTGATAGAGCACTTGAGAAAATTACATTTTAGCTAGCTGATCAGTCCAGGCTGACTACAGCAAACACACGAGTATTCAAGGGATTTCAGATACAGTGTGAGCAGATCAGTCAGACACCTGTGGCTCTGGGTTACCAATATACAAGGAGTGGACACAATATCATGAACACCTGTACAATCTAATGCAATGAGTATGTTATTCATGTACACTATCATGTTGTGTTTTTGTGGATTTAAGTCTGAGGTCATTTTTAAAGCAGTATTTGTGGAGTTGTGCTGGTTTTCATTATATTCTAACACAGAAAGATGTTGATGTTTTTGTGTCCACTCCCTGTACCATGTGTTGTATGGTTTTATCATGATAATTAAAGGAATAGTTCAACATTTTGGGAGGTAGCTAAGGTCTATACCACTCTCATGCCTGTACTCTAAATGCTAATTTATAGTCCCTTTATGTACGAAAATAGATATGTTCCTTTCAAACATTCTGACCATCAATGCCCACATACTTCCATGTGTCCTTTATGTTGGCATGGATACATCCAATAGATGGCACCAGAGAGCAGAGTCAAACGTTTTTGACAACAAGGACCACAGCAACAGGGGAAGAGGTCGTAACAATACACCTTTGAACGGAGGAATTCCTTTCACAATATTACCGATTCATTCCATTCTGCCATTTTTAAAATATCTTCGTCGTGTCCTATGATCATGCACAAATATGGACCAAATAAGCACAGGATATGGCTGGAAGGCTCTGTCCATATCTGTATGCGTTTCTAACGTTGAGCATAAATGAGCCAATAATATGAAGCTACTGCCTGCAGCCAGCTAGCTTAGCACATCTTGTTTGGCTGCTTCCATCCAAGAAATTTCCATCCATCCATCCTTTTTCAATGGCTTGTCCAAAGCACACAAAGCACCCCAGACATCCAGCTCATCCTGGGGGATCCTGAGGCGGTCCCAGGTCAGACGAGATATGTAATCCCTCCTGGTGTTCTGGGTCTGCCCCAGGTCCTCCTGTCAGTGAAACGTGCCCAGATCACCTCCAATGGAAGGTGTCCAGGTGGCATCTTGATCAGATGCCCATACCGCCTCAACTGACCCCTTTTCAACACGAAGGAGCAGTGGCTCTACTCCGAGCTCCCACCAAGAAATCCAAGAAATAGTTTGACACGTAACTCCCAATGACTATGTATAAAGATAGGTGGCCAAAACATCTCAATCCCCTGCTGGTGGCTAGCTGCAGTACAGGCCATAAACCCAGCCCCCTACATGTTAGCGGATTCTTGAACCAAAAACATGTTTGGTGAGGTCACAGTGACCTTTGACCACCAAATTTCTTATCCGTTTATTCTGCAGTCCAAGTGAGGCAAATTTGAAAAAAATCTTTCAAGGTGTTGTTGAGATAGTGTGTCCACAAAAATGAAACCAATGCAAGGTCACAGTGACCTTGACTTTTGACCACCAAAATCTAATCAGTTAATTGTTGACTGCTGGTGGATGTTTGTGCCACATTTACGGAAATTCCCTTGAGGCGTTCTTGAGATATTATGTTCCTAAGAATGGGACAGACAGACAGACAACCTTTGAACATAATGCCTCCAGTTATGGCTAGTTATGGCACGGAGGCATAAAAATTCGTAGCCGGGACATTTTGCTTCATTTTTGTGTAGTGGGAGGAAGTGGAGAGGCATTGTCCATCATTATATACAATCTGTGGTCTCTCTGCTTAAAAACACAACTTTAATATTTACACTTTTGTAAGGTTTAAACATATAAAATGTTAATTCGTGAGACTTAGATGTACTCAGCCAGCTGTTTCCCCGTTTCCTTTTGTTTTAGCTAAGCTAATCGGCTCCTTGCTGTAGCTTTATAATTAGTACAGACATGTGAATGGTATCGATTGTTACATGTGCTATTCTGCATAAGTGGAACTATTCTTTTAATTAAGAGCTATGTTAGACACCAAAACACAGATTTCAATCTCCAGTGAGTTTGTATAAATACGCCCAAGCCATCGTGATGTAATTAGCTGTCACTTTGCAAGGAAACATTTAAAGGAGCATTTCACCAAAAACAACAGCAATCTCTCAGCAAATCTTTGCTCTCAGTCATTACAAAACTATTTGAATAATTTGTTTATTTATTGATCAGCAAAAGGACCAAAGGACTGAACCAGATATTAATCTGACAGATCAATAACACCGAAGCTAGCGACTAATCAACATTCAGATGTGCTATGGGTGAAATGCCCCTTTAATCTGTTTCTAAGTGTAGTAAATGTTTGTGTAAGTGACAATCAGGCCACTTGTATAAAACTTTTGACCCCCTATTCCCCTCCAACACTTCAGCCCACTGTGGCTGATGTTGCACGGCTGCTATAAAGACACCAAAAACAGACATCTTGACATGACATCACATGTTCACCTCTCCTCCCTCTCGCTCTCTCAGAGCCTCGCCCCACGTTTTGGTTCAGTCTTAATGCTTGATCAAACTTCTGACCTGTTTGTGTAAAAAGAAAAGTGTGAATGTTCAGTGTTGTTTCACTAATTCCTGCTCAACCTTGTGTGAAAATGCTCTCTAGCAAAATATTACTAAAACTTTAATTTTAAGTATTGCATAAGGAAAGTATGTCAAAGAGGAATCTGTATATAATGCAGCCTGAGGTATAATAAAATTATATTTTAATGCCAGAGTACTCATACACAGTATTTATTTAACTTTTAAACACCTAAAATAAATCTTGAATTTAAGTCAAATTATAAGCAATAGAAAAAGAGCAGCTTACTTTTTTAAATATCCATATACAATCGCTTTTCTATCTATAATATTCTAATTAAAGATCAGTCTATTAAAGCATTGCATAATTATGGTATTACACGAAATAAATTCCAAACTGTGCTGCTCCCTTTGTCTGTTTCATGCTTTTAATCAATTGCATTTTGAGAAGCTTTGGCTTGATTTGAAGCTTCAAGAGCAGCCAAGACTGACTGTAGTGAATCTCAACAGAAATAAATTTATGTGTATTACAGTTTTTAGAAATATAACTGGTATCATTCCAGCTCATCTTACATGTTTAGCCAATAAACCGTGTGAGGTATCACCAATTGTAATTGTCTTTTTATCACTATGAAATGAGGTGATATTCCCGCACATAAATCTGATGTTTTTGCTGTTACTGCAGCGGTCCCCTAGATTCAGAGCAAAATTAATGAGCGAAAGCATTGATTTGTTTTGTCTGTTTTCCAAATCTGTGTCAACATTTGCATATTTCCTTTAACTCTGATGGTCCTCACAGACATTATCAAAACATGGACGATCTCCTGAATATTTCCCGTCACCCCTTCGATCCTAAATGCATGATAATTTGTGACAGTGCTTCAAGAATAATCTGTTGATTTTACCTTGGACAACATGTACATCGATCTGTGCATGAAGTTAGGCTGTATATCTCCTCAGTGTTTCAGCATCCCCTTTTATGCAGATTCATTACCCACCCACCTCCGCCTCCCTTAGCATGTTTGTTCTAGTTGTTTCTATTTATTTCATGTCTCACGAGTGCTAGCATTATGTCATCCATTGTGTGTCTGGTAGTGTGAATACAAAAGCAAGTTGTGATGTCCTCAAAGCATGAGCAATATGTACGGTCACTTAAAGAGAGGACTGTTATCCTTTTTGTATGCTGTTGAAGAAAGCATGAAAATGATTGTGTTATCATAAAGCATTAGATCATAACAAATGAACCCTGATGACAGTTAAAACATGGAAAGAACCTCTGAATGTAAAACAAGTTCAGTATCCATGTGGGTTTTTTCAGTTTACTGATAGAAAAGCACACTATTTACAAGACTGTATAAAGCAATATATGGCAAAGTAATGTGTTTGTAATAATAAAGCACCATGTTTAAAACAAACAGTGTGTGTGTACATCACCGTCAGCAAAATAACGGATAGCAAAGATCTGGAAACACAAGGTGTTGGAACAGCAGAGCCTTTAATCGATGCAGTAAGTCCTCTGCTGTATGACTCTTTTACTATAATAGAGAATAGAGTTTCTGTTTTTAGCCCTCCCTGAAGCCAAGTGTTGGTAATGAGCACCGCAACCAGTGTTTTTCAACTCGTTAGTGCTCTCCCATCTGCTCCTTTCCACCTGGACACTTCCAGAAGAGGCAGTGGTTGGAGAAAATGAGGGATCAGGGCCCAGGGTGGAAAACTTTCAGAGATCTAAAGACACGCTCGTGGTGTGCCCCTCATTAGAAGACCTATCCTTGACATCTGAAGCGGAACGGCCAATTATTTTCTCACCTGCAGTTTCCGCACTGAGATTTACATGTTTCCATATGAGCTGCTAGTGTTTTATTAAACAGCATATGCACAAAAGCACTGGCATTGTACCATAACTCACTGATGCTGGTGCCAACACCCCCTTTTTTTAAACCTTCACAGAGGAGAAAAAAATATGTACACCTTGTCTGTGATGTTTCTGCACTAGAAACAAGTCAGAGAATTTAATCACATGAATAGGTCCATCTCTCGAGCTCTTTGTATTTAAATACATTATAAAAACTATGTTAAAGAATACAAAGGTGGTATTGCATGTGGAAACTCTCAGAGCAGCTGTAGTGGGAAATAATCAAATCATAGGTGACACTGGTTTAGACAGAGTACTCATGGGCTTGAACGTAACTTAAAGGAACAGTTCAATATTTTGGGATATACACTTATTCACTGTCTTGCTGAGAGACAAGAGGACCGATACCACTCATGTTTGTGTGGTAAATATAAAGCTCAAGCTAGCGACCAGTTAGCTTAGCTTACCGTAAAGAGTGGAAATGGGGGAAACAGCTAGTCTGGCTTTGTCCAAAGCACCTCTACAGCTCATTAATACATTAACTCTTGCATACTCTGTAAGATAAACCAAGAGAAGTTGCGGATGCCAACTGGACTCCAAGAGGTCTCAGGTCTCTGCACCCAGCCCAGCTAAGCACATAACTCCAGTAAAACCACAACTTCTCATTCTTACCCTTTAGTTTTAATCATCAGATCAGATATAACGTGTTAATTCGTGAGGTGCTGGGTTTAATTTCGTCACCTCTGGACAACAGGTTAGCTTTTCATGAGTTTCCAGTCTAAGCTAAGCAAACTACTTGCTGAATGAAGCTTCATATTTAATGGACAGACATGAGCGTGGTATTGATCTAACTCTCAGCAAGAAAGCAAATAAGTGTATTTCCCATAATGTACAACTACAGTGGAGCAGGAATGAATCATAAATCCCAGAAATGAGTTAGCATTTTACCCTCCTCTCAGAGTCAGTGGGTTTTTGGTTAGATGCCTAAAATAAGGTCTGTGCTTAACACAAGAGATTTCAATGTTTTGTTCTACAATATAAAATATTAGTATATCAGTAAAAATCTCATTTGTGAATTTTTAAGCTTCTACGCATCTTAAAAAAGATTGTTGCTAACAAATGGCTAAATGACACTACAGAACGTCGTCATGCTGAGCGCAGTTTTACAGCCTCGTTGTGGTGGCATGCAATTGTAGTGTAATTTGTTTGTAGCCTAACGTTAACTTTTTACTTCTGGCGATTGCGTTTACTCTTCAAAATTAGGTGGGGGGCAGATGTTAATTTGTGAAGATTATCTTGCTGAACCAAACATGTAAGTATCATAAATGTTTACTTGCCACAGAGCTTACTTTCTGCACTGAACTGATAAAAAAAAATTGACTTTTTCATGAGGAAACCAGGGCAATGCTAACCGGCACGTTGGCCTACAAATTAACATCATCTGTGCAGCACTATTGTACAACTTTAACAAGTCACCCTCTGCATAATGATGTGCTTACAATAAACTTAAGAAACCTAAATTCAAACCTACGCACTGCATATTCCACACCATCAGAGCTGCAAAGGTTGATCTTACAGTCACCACACAGAATAAAAGGATACAAGTGTTACAGGATCTGTAATACTGTAACAATACGCATTTGATTAAAAGCCACCGCTGAGTGACAAAGCTGACAATGTTCCAGAAACCATCAGTGCTGCACATTTTAGTACTTGTCACATCACGTCCCCACAAACAGTAATAGTGTTTTCAGAAACACAGACACAGTCTGCTGTCAGAACACAGCTGGTGGCTGACAAACTCTCCCCAAAGTGGCCACTGAGTCTGCATAATACATCATAACATAAAGAAACGGAAACAAATAACATTAGCTGTGCAAAATGCTGTACAAGCTTGACAACAGAGGCCTAAACCGAGCACTGTGAAGCTGAAAGTAGAAATGTAACCCAGGAAGGTAAAAATAAGCCTGATTTTATATATGTGACTGTGTGTTGAGATTATTAAGGATTCCTACATTTGGATAGACACAATGATTGAGTATTTTGTCAGGGAACTATAGTCTACCTGTTTGAACACTGAACTTATTACACAACATTTAACTTTGATGCAACTGTAAAAACACATAATAAAAGATGCAACAGGTGACTCTGAACATTGCCATCTCTAAATTGCATTAAGATGTGACTGGAACATTCACATCTTAAAACCTTAATATCCTGTAACATGAGCATGTTTGTTTGCCAACCCAGCCAGCCTGTAACTATATCAACACAAATAGAGGGGAAAATGTCACTGTTGTTGCTCTCCTGCTGCCTTTTAAGACCATTTCTATCTGCTCTGAAGTTTCAATTCAAATGAAGACATGCACAAGCCCGAAAAAAAGAAGAATTACCCCAAAACTTAAAAGTAGGAGACTGTATGTCCTTGCTTATGTTCTTAACATGAACACAAAAATCCAATTATGAAGAATAAAATGTACAGGTTCAGAGAAAGGTGTAAACTGACGCCTGCTTTTATCAGCAAGAAAACATGTATCTTAATATGCTACAGAATTAATACTGCCCCACATTAAACAGACAGCTATGAATAAATAGATCAGTTCATCTGATGTGTCATTTGAAGAGCAGATGGATGACAATCCAACATCTACGTTGATGGAGGTTTGTGCTCCATTTCTTTTGCTAACAGTGAAAAAAAACCTTCTCTGAGCGAGTTCATCAGGGGTTAAACGTCCGCAGACTTTGAGTCTGGTGTCGGCAACAATTCACAGGTTAGATTTGGGTCCAGTATTGACTGGAATGGCCCTGAGCTCAGTCCGCATGCACAAGTACTCTCCGATTACAGCCATCAATGCCATGCAGGCTACATTGACGAGCCACCAGGACAGGGCCACTGGAAGATGAGCATTATAGATCCAGCAGCCAATCATATGAAAGAAGTGCACAGTAACTGTGAAGTCCAGGCACTGCTTCCCTCGGCGGATGAAGAACCACAGGCCCAGGGCGCTGCAGGAACAAAGACACAGAAAAGTTATGCTATTACTCAGCCATGCTCATTTATGTTATATTAAAGGGAAATTTCGGTTTATTTCAACCTGTCTCCTATCGTCCTAAATTTGTTTCAAGTGACTAGTGACATAAAAATAATAGTTAGCATGTTAGCCGTTAGCCTAGATATGGCCGGGGCGCATAGTAGCGTCAGACCTGTTAAAACGTAAGTGAACAGGCATACTTCAAGTGCAAAGTTAGTCCACTAAACAAGCTTTTTTCCCACAAAGACCGCCTCATATCGTTAGGATAAATGTCAGAGAACGTATAGAAAAGACATGTAAACGTGTTGTCTTACCTCACCGGTGTGGTGCCATGTTTGTTTACCATTTAGCTCTGCTTTCCAAACGCGACCGAAATATCGCGAGAACAAGCAGCGATCGCATAGCATGCCTGAAATCTCGCGAGAACAAGCAGCAGCAGCTGCAAGGCAGAACCAGACAGTAGCCTGAAAAGTTCATTCATTTATTTTATGAAAGATTTATAGAATAATGGCTGACTTTTTGGCAGACTTCGACTTTGTGGAGGAGGAATTTGATTTTGCAGAGTTTGATGGCTGCCCTTATTTATTTGAGCCAGAATACACTGATGAAGAGCTTTGTGAAACTGAAGAACGGAGGAGGAGAGAGAGAGAGGCGCAACAGGTAGAGGATGAGAGAGGAGGAATGGCTGCTGCAAGGCTGCGTAGCTCTGGAGATTGGTGGTGTACCTGTGAATGCTGTGCCCCAGTGCCCACAGAAGAGGAATGCCTCTGTTGCAAGGAATGGGACCGGTTGCAGCCTTATTTTCAAGGTCTGGATGTGACCAAGGACGAGACACCTCCACCTGGAGTAGTATCCAGCTGGGCTTTATCTAGAGCTCGCGAGATTTCAGGCCCGGTATGAGATCGCTGCTTGTTCTCGCAATATTTCAGCCTAGCTTTGGAAAGCAGAGCTAAATTGTAAACAAACATGGCACCACACTGGTAAGGTATGTTCTCTGACATTTATCCTAACGATATGAGGCGGTCTTTGTGGAAAAAAAGCTTGTTTAGTGGACTAACTTTGCACTTGAAGGGATGCCCGTTCACTTACGTTTTAACAGGTCTGACGCTACGGCTGTATCTAGGCTAACGGCTAACATGCTAACTATTATTTTTATGTCACTAGTCACTTGAAACAAATTTAGGACGATAGGAGACAGGTTGAAATAAACTGAAATTTCCCTTTAACCCTGCAAAGTTATAAGTGTTCCAGTCTTACCATGTACCAAATCTGGAGAAATGATCTTTTATTTTTATGCAAGTATGTAAATAAATATATTTTCTAACTGTGTTTAGTCCTACTGGTGGAAATCATTCAGTTGTGATGGTGTGAATAAATCTGTTATATCATTTTATCATGAGATGCTTGAACAACAGCATTTTAGTAAAAGGTGTAAAGAGCTCTCGTTTCTTTAAATATACAGAGAAAATACTAAAGACATTACTTACCAGGTGAGAGAGTTCAAGATGAATGCCATCATTGAGAGCCTGCCCTGCATTGTTGCAAACCCAAGGACCTGCCAAAGCAGAGCAAAGATTTAACTACCACTTCAGGAGTCTACAAATGTGCCACAAACATGCATCACAAAACTGGCAGAGATCTAATAACTTACCTCATAGCTGAAGATCTGGTCCAGTGACCGACTACTCTGCACCAGACTGTCCACTCCTGCTAACCACAGGCCCAAGAAGCTGTAATAGATGCACTGCATCAACACAATCTGACTCACAATGAGGACCGGGTCCCAGATGTAGCTACGGAAGTGGCTGGCCATTATGGACTGATGTTACATGTACAGGCCCAAACAATGTTAACAGCTGGCCCTGACTGTTACCACCTTGGCCATCCAGTGTGACCTGCACGTGATCTCAAAATCTGAAAAACAGAAAGTCACATTAAATGAAACACGTTAACATATTTTACATCTTGAGTTTGGAATATAAGCCCAACTGCTTCATTAAGATAAAACAAGACAATAACTGTAGGATCATGGCGACTTCAGTGACAATACAGCCAGCTGCATTGCTGTAAAGTACCTTATGAACAGTTGTCCCATTATCTTAACAGGTGGAATGAGAAGTATAGGCTAAAATCAAAAGAAACACACGAGCTCTATTTTATTAGAAAAAGCAGAAAATGCTATAACATCTTTTAGTTTGTATTATTGTGTGACACCTCAGGCATTTTGTTCTTGGGTTATTTACTTTGTAAAGAGCATATGATTAGTTTAAGCAGTACGAACAGTCCTTATTTGCTTTCCCCATACAGAGCTAACTACAACTTATCATTGTCTACAGGTCAGCTATGTTATCAGTACAATCTTGTCCCTTTTATCTTTAATATAAACTCTAAACCTTAAATGGAAGCTGGGCAACAAAAAGAAAATCAGATATCGTGATGTTTTTGACCAAATACCTCAATAACAATATTGCAACAGGTGCTTTCACAAATTATTTTACACACTGAGATTTTTGATAATCATCAGTAAATGTGGATATAATGACTAAGTGGGTAAAGGCGAATAAACAGCTCAGTCTGGTGAGTTCAGTATATTACATCAATTTACTGTAATGCAGCCTTTCAAACCAAGAAAAGAAAACACTTATAATATTACGATATCCGAAATCTAAGACCATATCTAGTCTCATATCCCCATGTCAACACAATATTGATATAATGCCCACTCCTACCTTGAATACAGCTAACAAGTACAATTTTTAAATTGTAGGAGGCAGGAATTGAGCTGAACTTTTATTACCAAACCAATATTGGGTATTTGAAGCTCATACTGATATCAATATTTGAGAGTTTATAGAGCCTGAAAACAATTTATTGGGCAATAGTTATTGGGCGTTTTTACACAACAGCAAAATATACACAACAATCTGTAATCAGTAACGGGGACATTGTTCTAAAATTACGTCAAGCCTTATTTGGCATTACTGTACTGCAATTTCTAGTTACCTAACGACCGAGATATAGCATTAAATGGATACCAATTTACATCATTTGAGCCAATATCATTTTTATCAGTCTGGCTCTATTTAATATATTTATTTGAAAGAGGACTGTGATGTCAAATTACCGTAAACAGACAACAGAAAAGCTATAATTAATTAAACCAAGAGCATGGGTTAATGCAAACATCAATCTCTGTATAGGAGCATCTACTTATGGTCTCGCATCTCATTAAAACAACAGCCACAGCTACTGCGTAGTGCTGTAAACACACATATAAAGACAGTTCAATAACGCTACATGTGATTATACAGGGAAGTGGAGGGTACTATCGATGTCCGTGAAATACACACGGGTGTATCCAACCTTGACTGTGTCACGTATGCTCACATTAAAGTCAGAACGGAGCACGAAGCTAGCTGTCCTGTCCACCAGCACAAACTCAACGATTAGACAATGCTAACGTTACCTTTTACGTTAACCAAGTACAGCCCGTTAGCGCCGTTTGGTGGGTGAATTAACCACCCAAAACCAGCTGTGACGTTCAGTAAAAGAACAGATAGAAAAGTCAAGTGAACACAGACATTTAACCGTGGGTAGAAACAACACAAACATTGAAGTCTCGTCGTCTAACGGTACACGACAGATGACCAACAAGTTACAACATGTTAGCATGGCTGTTTTCTTTAGCAGCAGCGGGGAACCCGTTTCAACCAAACATACAGACAGCTGATACAGACCTGAGTACTGGACTAGAAAGGTTTCAGGTGCCGCGTTAACGATAATCCACCCGGTTTCTTACTGTTTTTAGACTCTACAGATAATAAACCGGGCCTAGTAATCGTTTAGCTGTGCCTGGTTAACAACACGGAAGTCACGGCGGTGGATCCGGAAAGAAAATCTTACACTTAAAACTTTATTTCAGTGTAAAATACCTTATATGTATTGTTAGGGTAATCTGTACCGATTATTCTGCCATATTAGTTTTCTGCAAACAACCAAGAAAGAAAATTTTACAATTTATTATATAATCGCTAAACTTGTGCCGTGGACGATGGACTCACTGTTTTGTTTTTGTTTTTTCCATAATATGCAAGCGCAACCTTTATTTTGAAATCCTTTCCGTTTTACCTTCCGTAGGATGTAAGTACTTTCAAAGCGTTTCTAAAAAACAAGTTGTCATAATGATTATTATTATTATTATTATATCAATTATCATTATTATTATTACAACAATGGAAAGAAATAAAAATAAAAGTCAAACAATTATAGACTTTTATTTCTTTTTTTTTTTTTTTTATTTTATATACTTTATTAATCCCCGAGGGGAAATTCAATTCTTTCACTCTGTTGTCAATTACACACAGGTCCGAACACACACATGCACAAACAGGACCAAGCAACATATTTGTCCTCAGGGGTTTCTACAAATATATTCTACAAAGATAGAATCTGTTGCTTGCAAAAGAGTTTTGAAAACCAAATGATTAAAAATATATTTCAAAAAAGATAATCCATATACTACTATACGTTACTTATACTGTTATATTCAATTCCATTTCCATTCTAATTTCATCAGGTTGTCTGAGGCCAGGTTGTGGGGGCAGCAGGCTGAGCAAAGTACTTCGGGCGGCCCTCTTCTTAGCAACGCTATCCAGCTCCCCCTGAGGAATCCTTCTGCGTTCCCTGGCCAGATGAGATCTGCAATCCCACCAGCATGTTCTGGATCTGCCCTGGTGTCTCCTGCCAGTTGGACGTGCTCGGAACACCTCTAATGGGAGGCCCCAGGATCAGATGCCCGAACCACCTCAGCTGGCCCCTTTCAACACACAAAGGAGCAGCGGCTCTACTCCGAGCTCCCTCCAGATGTCTGAGCTCCTCACTCTATCTAAGGCTGAACCTAGCCACCCTACAAAAGAAACTCATTTCAGCAGCTTGTATCCGCAATCTCATTTTTTCAGTCACTATAAGTTCTCTGGCAGAGAGCCATGGCCTCAGGCTTGAAGGTGCTGAATCTCAGACTCGGCTGCAAACCACCCCAGTGCATGCTGGAGATCACGGTGTGATAAAGCCAACAGAACTACATCATCTGCAAAGAGCAGAGATGCAATTCAAAGATCCCAAACCAGACTCCTTCCACCCCTGATTGCGCCTTAAATTTCTGTCCATGAAAGTCACAAACAGTGGCAGTGGAGGTCAACACCCACTGGACACATGTTTGACTTTGTGCCGGCTATGTGGACACAGCTTTCGCTTCGGTTATACAAGGGCTGAATGGCCCCCAGTAGCGACACGGGTAGCCTATCCAATATTCCCACAGTACCCCCTACACAACTTCCTGTGGAACATGGTTGTAAGCATTCTCCAAGTCCACAAAATGCATGCACATCTATCTATCTATCTATCTATCTATCTATCTATCTATCTATCTATCTATCTATCTACCTTTTTGGCTGTCTTCAGTGGGAACATGGAGCATAGTGGATCAGGTAAAGTATTTGGCCTTGTGGTATTAACTACTGCTGGAATAGAAGGGAAATCTAAGAAAATTGACATAATCATTGATTAAGCAAGGAGAGACGTGTTCAGGCTCTCTCTCAAAAACCTAGAAAACAGAGAATATATAGAAGAGTATGAAATGGGTGGAAAGGGGTCGTGAGATTTTAGTTAAAATCCAGTAGTTGGCGATAGTGCAACATTGTGGATGCAAACCATCATTAAAATCAAAGAAGAAGAAGACGAAGTTGCGTTCTGTAAGGGTCATGTTTGCTTTGCAAATATTTCCCGTTTTGATTTACTTCACATTCCGAGACATTAAACTCTGTGTCAGCCGTGTGTGTGCACGTTACTCAGCGTGTGTAAACACAACAGTGCGAGTCTGGAGGTGCAAAGTCAGCTGGATCACTGAAATCAGGTGAGCTTTGGTGACCAGACTGCATTCCTTCTTTTCGGAGCATGTTAGTTTATATGCGTGGTTATTACTGCAAAACACGCACTTTCTGTCCAGAATAGGAGAGAACATCCTAGCGGAGTGGAGGGTGTTGTGGAAACTTCGAGTCCTATTTATACATTTTCCTCGCATTTTAGGATGCATAATAATCCACCTCATTCCTTTGACACTGTGTCATGATCTATATGAGCTTATTATTCTACTATGAGTATTAGGCCTGTTGCTTATCACTGTTGTTGTGATGTGGTATTGTAATATTTATCATTATATATTTCGAGGAGTGGAGAAGAAAATGTCATGCATTTGTCACTCCACATGTAGGTCAGCATACAATAGCAAAAGATACACATTTTTGTCATTTCTAATCTTGTTTTTAATAGCTAATTAAAAGAATAATCAGTGGCAGGATAATGTAATACAGTCAGGGTAATTAACTTTGATCACAACTTTTGTTGAAATTGTGATATGAATATGGAAACTATAGCAAAAAGAGTTGTAAAAAGTAGCTTAGTATATTTACACTAGTAACTACTGTGATTAAATAAGTTCTGGGATACTCGTACTTTAGTTGATTTTTTTATGCCTCTTCCTTTTCACTCCACCACATTTACAGCTTACTTACTTTAAAATTCTTGATCAGTATGTAAAATGTGATATAAAATGTTACTGTATTTACAGATGTGTTCTTACACATCTCAACAATAAAAAAAGGAACATTAATATAATTAGAGAATAAACATATTGTAACTTTGTAACAAGTGTTTTTATTCTTGAGACTTTTTTTTCTCGTTTATTTTTTATCAGGGACCATGTAGAGAGAACGTTGGACTGAACAGAGTAAAGATGCACTGTGCCAGATTATAGCTTTTTAGCTAGTTTCCATCTGCAGTCCCTGAAGTGTTGATTACATCTATACAAATGCAATATTGCTACTTTTTGCAAAAGTAAAGGGCACTTTTGTAAAGTACACTCCACATTTTTCAGAACTTAGCCAGTCATAAATTAGCTTATTATAACTGTTTTCCAACACATGGTTTGGAAGTTATTTAGGCCAAAGGTGTGAGGGGGAGCAACCCTGAGTCTGACAAACCTTTGCAGCAGATCAGTTGTAAGGTTTAATGTGTAACCTCCACTCACTGGACAGATTGACGTTATTTCACCAAACAGACGTGACTCTGCAATGTTTCATGTATCTTGAAGTTTGACCTCCACTCATTTCTTTTTTAAAGGGGAGACAGAAACACCACAATGGTCAGAGCTCATGTGTGTACTACAATACGGCAGCTCATAGAAACCAAGATGATACCATGCATCAGTGTACACCGGAGCCTGGCATGTTTGCATCGTGCTGTGGGTAAGATTGTTGTTCTTTATTGTGTTGTTATTTGAGACGTTTGTGAGTTGGGCAGTGAAATCTACTTTGACTCTGAGTAAATGTGTTACTATAATACTGCAGGTCTACATCTGCTGCTTTTATATGAAGGTCTGAGCCTCAGATAATCTGATTTTCCCTTCAGCCACTGCTGTTCCAAATGTAAAATAATCACAAAGAAATTCTAGAAATGAAGCAAAAATAATTTCAGGAATACTTTTGAAACTATAAATGATTTCCTGCCATCTCCACCAGGGAGGTTGTGTTTTCTGCACGATTTCTCTTTATGATTGTTTGTAAGAGAGCAGCTCAAAAACCTGTTGAGAGATACACTGCCTGGCCAGAAAAAAAGTCACCACCAAAAAAAAAGGTCATACACTCTAATATTTCGTTGGACCGCCTTTAGCTTTGATTACGGCACGCATTCGCTGTGGCATTGTTTCGATAAGCTTCTGCAATGTCACAAGATTTATTTCCATCCAGTGTTGCATTAATTTTTCACCAAGATCTTGCATTGATGATGGTAGAGTCTGACCGCTGCGCAAAGCCTTCTCCAGCACATCCCAAAGATTCTCAATGGGGTTAAGGTCTGGACTCTGTGGTGGCCAATCCATGTGTGAAAATGATGTCTCATGCTCCCTGAACCAGTCTTTCACAATTTGAGCCCCATGAATCCTGGCATTGTCATCTTGGAATATGCCCGTGCCATCAGGGAAGAAAAAATCCATTGATGGAATAACCTGGTCATTCAGTATATTCAGGCAGTCAGCTGACCTCATTCTTTGAGCACATACTGTTGCTGAACCTAGACCTGACCAACTGCAGCAACCCCAGATCATAACACTGCCCCCACAGGCTTGTACAGTAGGCACTAGGCATGATGGGTGCATCACTTCATCTGCCTCTCTTCTTACCCTGATGCGCCCATCACTCTGGAACAGGGTAAATCTGGACTCATCAGACCACATGACCTTCTTCCATTGCTCCAGAGTCCAATCTTTATGCTCCCTAGCAAATTGAAGCCTTTTTTTCCGGTTAGCCTCACTGATTAGTGGTTTTCTTAAGGCTACACAGCTGTTCAGTCCCAATCCCTTGAGTTCCCTTCGCATTGTGCGTGTGGAAATGCTCTTACTTTCACTATTAAACATAGCCCTGAGTTCTACTGTTGTTTTTCTTCAATTTGATCTCACCAAACGTTTAAGTGATCGCCGATCACGATCATTGAGGATTTTTTTCCGGCCACATTTCTTTCTCAAAGACGATGGGTCCCCACTATCCTTCCAGTTTTTAATAATGCGTTGGACAGTTCTTAACCCAATTTTAGTAGTTTCTGCAATCTCCTTAGATGTTTTCTCTGCTTGATGCATGCCAATGATTTGACCCTTCTCAAACAGACTAACATCTTTTCCATGACCACGGGATGTGTCTTTCGACATGGTTGTTTAGGAAATGAGAAGCAACTCATTGCACCAGTTGGGGTTAAATAACTTGTTGCCAGCTGAAAGATAATCGCCCATGCAGTAATTATCCAATAGGAGGCTCGTACCTATTTGCTTAGTTAAATCCAGGTGGCGCTTTTTTTTTGGCCAGGCAGTGTATCTGTAGAATTTGATGTAACATACGACCACAGGTCAGGGAACAAGTTATCAATTTAAGTTGCTAAACCAGGGATTTTTTTAATGATATTTGCGCACATTTCAAAATATCATTAAAAAACCTTATTGCTATTCTGCCATGGACTACTGCTCTGAAAACAGTCTCCTCATTGACTATAGTTAGGTACATTTTGATGCAGAAACATACAGTTCAGTAGTAAAGGAGGCTGACTTCAGGTCAGGTCATGGTTGTCTATTAACCGTAAGTTTAGTGATTGATTCCCAGTTCCTCATGTTCACATGTTAAAGTGACCTTAAGCTGGACCAGGGCTTCTCAAGCTTTTGTTATTTAAGGCACACTTCTGATTATTAAAGTACTTCAGTGGACCCCTGAATAAACTGGAGCATAATGTTAGCTAGTGAACACTGGCAAAACATGTTTGTCTCTCCTAGGCTTGGGCAGTATCTATTTTTTCATACCTTAGTGAAATTTCATGGTATATGGTATGTGAAGATATTGTGTGTGGTGTTGCCACAACCCTACCCGACCACTCCCCACTGGCAACTTAGCTGTGTTTCAGTCTAATAAATACACTAAATATCCTCAAAAATGCCAAGGAATGTAATATTCTTACACTTACTTTTCTTATTTAACAGCAAAATACAACATATACCCTCTGAATTTGGGTTTACCTCTTTTACCAAAGTAAGACTAGCTTCACTGCCTTGTTAACTCATAGTTCAGTCAGGAACACTTTAGTCAAAGGAAACTTTATTTCGATTTTCAATTTTAATATTTGGCGGTATAGCTTTGTTCTGGGGCCTCTATGCCTTTCCTCAGGCCTATGCAGAAAGCCTCTTCCATGCGCCTACGTGGAAAGCGTAAGGTGGAGAGAGCACACCTCTCCGCCCCTCTGTGTGCCTACGTGGAAAGCCCTAAGGCGGAGAGAGCAAACCTGTCTGCCCTTCCACGTGCAAATGAGGAAAGCCTTGAGGCAGAGAGAGCACACCTCCCTGCCTTTCCATGCGCCTACATGGAAAGCCTAAGCAGGGAGAGCAGCAGCAAAGACCCCACGGGAACAGAACAGATGACATTGATAAATCAGACACAGCATGAAAAGGAGGAGCTGGGGTGGAGGCATGTTGCAAAGCAGCTTGCAGAGGAAGCAACAACAGTAGGCAGGCCAGAGCAGGTTAAATAGGGCGTCCTGAATGAGATTTGCCAGTTGGTTGCATAGAGAGCAATCATGTGATCTATCAGCTGACTCCCTTCCATCATTCAGCTGCTCAATCAGTTGATTGGGCTGTTTGAGATCAACTGATGTAACTGGGATGTGAGCTGATCTTGACATCGTGTCCTGCCTGAACTAACGCTATGCTCAATTAAAACACTCCCCATACAACCTTGACAGAAACAAAATAAAACCCACCAAAGCCATGTTGGTTAGTCTTGTTAGTTATTTAGTTCATTAGTCCACTGCTCCAGCAAACAACAGCTGTGGACTGATCAAAATTATCCCTCAATTCACTGCGTTAGATGTGAAAATATACTTTTTCCTCTGTGTCTCTCTGTTGTTTTTGGCCGGCTGTTTACAGTGCTGTTAACGTAATCCCTAACTCTCTCCACCGGTCACCATGTTTTTCATTTATGTTAAGTCTTGAGCACATTTAGATTTAAAAATAATTAGCTTTGTAAATTACAAAGAAAAAAAAAAATCAAACCATTTGGCAGGACCTCCTAAGGCCCACTCTGTGGCACTCCGGGGTCCACCAGAAAGTTGCTGAGCCGCTCAAGAAACCTAAAATTGCTCCCAGTGGCTGTGTATGGAGGGAAGTAAGTAAGTGACAAATGGACAAAAAATTTTGCCATATGCATGAAAAATCTAGAATTTCTCCACATCAAGGTCTGTTGGATCTTTATCAGCCCTCTGATACTTGATACAAAATCTAATACTTTGACATCAGAGCATTTGAATTAAATTATCATCTGCAATACCTCTCAGAGTTTCTTTTGTAAAACTTTAAAGTTCACAGGTATATTTTTCTTCTAGGTGGAGTTCGGTGGAAGAGCAGCTTTAGACCAGCCCCTCTATTGACAGCTGCTCCTGCTCGTGCCCTCGTAGATGAACCGATCAGCATTAAAGGACGTTTCCTGCCCCCACACAGTCCTGTCACAGTGTGTGCACAAATGCACAGTGATGATGGTGAGCTGTGGGAGGCATTCGCCCATTGTAACACAAATTCAGATGGCACTGTCAACTGTGAGTCACACTGAGTTTCATAGTACAGTATATTATGTGTTGGATTATATGTAATGCTGTTGTAATGTTATTACCACAAATGTAATGTATTAACTTGTTACAATTTAGTTTACAGACATAAAACAGGAATTCAAGTAAAGGTTAGAAAATGCCATGAATTATGTGAGATTAACACTAAATTCTATTTCACTGACCCGCCATTCAGGTAGATAAGTGTTCACGTCTCTTTTAATAAAACTTAAACAGTTACTCAAAATTAAAAAGAGATATGAACTACTTAAAGAGCAACTAAGCTGAATCAAGTGTTACGTTTTAACTAATAGAGCTATTAAGTATGGTTGATGAATGTTACAAGTTAAAAGGACAGTTCACCCCAAAATCAAAGATACATATTTTTCCTCTTATTAGTAGTGCTATTTATCAGTCTAGATTGTTTTATTGTGAGTTGCCATGTGTTGAAGATATCTGCTGTAAAGATGTCTGCCCTCTCTCAAATATAATGGAACTAGACGGCACTCGGCTTGTGGTGCTTAAAGGGCCAGTGTGTAAAATGGGTTGAAAACCGTTGAAAACAGTGACATCAGTGGTCAAATTCTAGATTGCAGGGCTCACTCGCTCACCCCTCCCGTCGGGTAAATGACGGTGGCCTCGTAGGGACAAAAAGCCTTGCGCACAAGTTTTTCAGGAGTAGGTCTATCTAGCGACGAGGTGAATGTTTATTTAGAAATCTAAACCATGTTACCATATTGTAATGAATCCCTCACGAGCAGGAGACCAGAGGAGCGTTCGGGAAAAAGGCCGGTTTATTTGAGCACTCCAGAAACTCTGGTAACACTCCACTCCGTCCCAAATTCTGACTCTTCTGGCGTAACAGACACACTTAATAACTTTACACACATACTCGTTTACGATACTAAGTGGGGACCCCCCCTCCCCTCTCTGCTCCACCATACACTTGTATAAACATATTAATGGGTAGAATATTCAGATTCAGATTCAGATTCAGATTTGACAATAAACCATGCTAAATATTACACACTGGCCCTTTAACATTAGTGTCTCTTTCCAGAAGTCATGACGTGATTACTTAAGATAAACCACACCCCTTGTTGTGAGCAGTTTCACATAGGAACTATTTTCTCTCTGCTGAACTACACTTTCCAACATCAAATAGTATCACTACACAGAAGGAAGCGTTCATCTACTGCTAGCTCACTTAGCACCGTTGCGCAAGCTAACGTTGAGGCCCAGACACACCAAACGGACATTAAAGAACCAGTGGAAACAAAAGCCAACTGTTGCGTCACCTTACGGCAGTGTCTTGGCCAAAAAATTACACAAGCACACACCGCAAAGACTATAGCCGACGGTCAACCAGCATGAAAGTTCTGCACCTACATGAGAGGAAATAATTCTCCACACCACCAGACAGTGGTTTTCTGTATTTGTCATTCAAATAGGGGAACCGAAAGACCATCTTGGCACCAGTTAGCCAGTTAGCACATTAACAACACCACCCAATGTTGAAAGAACAGAACATATTTACTGTGCACCAGTGAACAATAACACAAACTATCATGAAACACTTGCTCAATGGCTCAAGAAAAGCAATCTTGTCTTATATAACAAGTTTGCTCTTGTCCATGAGTAGATGCACGCTTCCTTCTGCACAGTGTTACAGTATAGTTTGGTAGAAAGAAAATAGTTCCTACTGAAGCTGTCACACAGTTAATTTTTTTAAATTGCAATTAATCGCTGAATTTCAACAGTTAATCGTAAATAATCACACTTTTTTATCACAGGTTTGAAATTTCAGAACTTTGCATTTTAAAACAGTTTTTAAGTCCATATGAACAACGTGAGTGTTTTGATTGGGAATCAAATTAATGCAAAGAAATGTACTTTATGATCTTGAGTTTTAGATTTATTTCTTAAAAATCAGTGCTGAGCTGTTACAACAATGTGGTCGAAGAGGCAAAATGGCAGCACACAATTAGCCATCTGAGCCCCACATATTGTAGACCCATGTTTTTTTCTTTTTTGGGAGGGGGCTGGGGACATTTTGGGGGAGATAACAGGTCAACAATATATGGCACATATGTCACCTGAGAGGTGGAAACGATTAATTTGAGATGCAGCTCAGCACTGTTTATCAAGTTTTTACATAGATATTTGATAAATATTGCGTGCAAAAAATGCATAATTTGTGCCCAATAATGCATGGGACCAGCATAAAGTGGGCATATTTGTAAAGGGGAGATTTATGGGTATCCACAGAACCTATTTTCATTCAGATATCTTGAGGTGAGAGGTAAGGAGACCCCTGTGAAAATGGCATTGCTGTTTTTCCCTCAACTAAATTTAAATTTGGAGCATTATTTATCCCACTTTTTGAGAAGCTAGCATAACATAGGAATATGTCTTAGGTCTTCTAGTTTCATATGATACCGGTATCATCACTCTAGCTCTGAAAATCATCCATCTATAGCCTCTGAAAGACAGGGGACAGCAAAAATAGCAGCACATGATTTAAAGAAAATCAACACATTTCGTTTAGACCATAATCGCATCGTAAGTAACGTGTTAATGCTGACAGCCCTAGTTCCTCCATGAAACTGCTCACAGCAATGTCTGTGGATTATCTTCAAATCAAATCAAATCAACTTTATTTATATGGCACTTTTCATACAACAGTAACACAAAGTGCCTCACAGAGGTTAAAAACAACAAAGATCCAAACAGAAAACAAAAAGAAAAGAGAAAACCCAACCCTCCCACCCAACAAAAAGCTATTTAGCTCATAAAATTGAGTTAGTAGCTAGGTAAGAATGATCTAAAACAGAGACATAAAATACATCAAAACTAAAACCTATAGGCTAACTAAAATAACAAAAGATAAAGGTTAAATGAGATAAGAATGTAAAAAGAGGAAGGGTAAGAATATAAAAAATAAATAAAAAATAGATAATAGATGGATAAATCGGTTATAAGAGGAATTTAAAATAGATAAATAAAGAGATCAGTTAAAAGCCTGATTAAAAAGATGAGTCTTGAGCCTCTTTTTAAAAACATCAACAGTCTCTGCAGCTCTGAGGTTCTCCAGCAGGCTGTTCCACAATCGGGGGCCATAATAATTAAATGCCGCCTCCTCGTGTGTTTTAGTCCTAACTTGTGGTATGGTTAAAAGGCCGGTGCCGGAGGACCTCAGGGTCCGCGAGGGTTGATATGGTAAAAGCAGGTCAGATAAATAAGAAGGCCCAAGACCGTTAAGACATTTAAAAACTAATAAAAGAACCTTAAAATCGATCCTGAAGCGCACGGGGAGCCAATGCAGCAATTTTAAAACTGGTGTAATGTGCTCCTGCCCTCTGGTCCTTGTCAGCACTCGTGCAGCTGAATTCTGTAATAATTGTAGATTTGAGATACTCTTTTTGGGAAGACCAAAGAGCAGGGCATTACAATAATCTAACCTACAGGAGATAAAAGCATGCATCAGCACCTCCGTGCTGGCCTGAGAGAGAAACGGGCGGACTCTGGCTATATTCTTAAGGTGGTAGAAACCTGCCTTTGTCATGTTTTTAATATGTGGAATAAAACAAAGCTCAGAGTCAAAAATCACACCCAGATTTTTTACAGATTGTGTTGGTTTAAAATCCTGTAGTTTTGGCAAAAGTTTCTCTCTCTGGCCTTCAGGACCAATGACTAAAACCTCTGTTTTGTCCTGGTTGAGCTGCAGGAAATTCGCTGCCATGCATGACTTTATATCTAAAATGCAGTTAAAAAGGGCATCAATTGGCCCTGTGTCATCAGGAGACACGGCGATGTACAGTTGCGTATCATCAGCATAACTATGAAAGCTGATGCCGAGTAACTGGGTCATGATTCTGCTATTCAAATGTATATTTTGGCACTTTTTGGTGGCTTTCAAGCCAAATGCCATCTAATCCCACTATACTGAAAAGAAGGCAGACATCTCTATGGCGGGATATCTCCAGCATTTGGTGACTCACACCAGAACAACGTTGATTAATAAATGGCACTAAAGTAAGAGGAAAAATATGTATCTTTGATTTTGGGATGAACTGTCCTTTTAACGAAAACAAATTTTAGAAATTAAATAATTTGAACCATTTAGATTTTTATGCAGGCAGCTGCTGATCTTCTCTCCTCTCTTTCTTTCTGTTTCTTCAATAGTGACCAGGGATCCTTCAATCGGGGGTTCATATTTGGGCTGTGAGCCGATGGGACTGTTCTGGGGACTGCAGCCGGCTCCTGGTTCAAGAGAAGGTTTAAGGCAGGTGGTGAAAACGAGCTCACTGAGAGCTAAAGAAACTTTAAAACAAGTTTGTGGCATCAAACCTGACTGTGTGTCGTCTGATACACTTGTAGCAAAGCTCAACATCTCTACCAACCCTTTTACTGTTATTGTTTCATTTCCTGACTGAAATGTGCTCTTTCTGACAGGCTGAGAAAGAAAAATGTAGAGACTCCATACGTAGTGCTCATGTCCTTAATGAAGGGCCACGTTTCACCCAGTGAGAGACAGAGCACCGAGCTGGCTGCTGTAACTACTGAGCGCTGGTACATGGCACCTGGTGTACAGAGAAAAGAGATTCGCCAGGATGGAGTTGTCGGGACGTTGTTTTTACCTCCTGGTGAGCACGAGATTTGAAGCATTCACTCACACATTTTAAGACTGCCCTGGACAAACTGTATCCTCTGAACAGCACCTACTGTACTGATTTCCTGTAGGCCCTGGCCCATTTCCAGCCATGCTGGACTTGTGGGGAATGGGAGGAGGACTGGAGGAGTACCGCTCCGCACTTTTTGCATCCAGGGGCTATGCCAGCTTGTCCCTTGCCTACTTCAATCACAAAGATTTGCCTGGCCCGCGAAGCCAAATTAATGTTGGTGATCCATATTTCAAAGTAAGATGAGAGACTTTAACCTATTACTTGCTATGTTCTCTCTGCAACATGTGCATGTCTCACTTAAATAAAGCTCAGATTTACTTTAATGATTTTGTCATCACCTCAAAAATCCAAAAAAAAATGTTTTGTTTGTACAGTCAGCATATCACCTACTTCAAGATCATCGTCAGGTCTGTGCCGACAGAATTGGGATCATCGGTCTCTCCTATGGAGTCTACTTGACTCTTCGAATGGCCACTCAGATTGGTGTCAAAGTACGTCAGAAAGGTCTCTCTCTGTCATCTTTTTCTGAATTGACAGTTACATAGCGTACAATACATACATACAGTACAGGCCAAAAGTTTGGACACACCTTCTCATTCAATGTGTTTTCTTTATTTTCATGACTATTTACATTGTAGATTCTCACTGAAGGCATCAAAACTATGAATGAACACATGTGGAGTTATGTACTTAACAAAAAAAGGTGAAATAACTGAAAACATGTTTTATATTCTAGTTTCTTCAAAATAGCCACCCTTTGCTCTGATTACTGCTTTGCACACTCTTGGCATTCTCTCCATGAGCTTCAAGAGGTAGTCACCTGAAATGGTTTTCCAACAGTCTTGAAGGAGTTCCCAGAGGTGTTTAGCACTTGTTGGCCCCTTTGCCTTCACTCTGCGGTCCAGCTCACCCCAAACCATCTCGATTGGGTTCAGGTCCGGTGACTGTGGAGGCCAGGTCATCTGCCGCAGCACTCCATCACTCTCCTTCTTGGTCAAATAGCCCTTACACAGCCTGGAGGTGTGTTTGGGGTCATTGTCCTGTTGAAAAATAAATGATCGTCCAACTAAACGCAAACCGGATGGGATGGCATGTCGCTGCAGGATGCTGTGGTAGCCATGCTGGTTCAGTGTGCCTTCAATTTTGAATAAATCCCCAACAGTGTCACCAGCAAAACACCCCCACACCATCACACCTCCTCCTCCATGCTTCACAGTGGGAACCAGGCATGTGGAATCCATCCGTTCACCTTTTCTGCGTCTCACAAAGACACGGCGGTTGGAACCAAAGATCTCAAATTTGGACTCATCAGACCAAAGCACAGATTTCCACTGGTCTAATGTCCATTCCTTGTGTTTCTTGGCCCAAACAAATCTCTTCTGCTTGTTGCCTCTCCTTAGCAGTGGTTTCCTAGCAGCTATTTGACCATGAAGGCCTGATTGGCGCAGTCTCCTCTTAACAGTTGTTCTAGAGATGGGTCTGCTGCTAGAACTCTGTGTGGCATTCATCTGGTCTCTGATCTGAGCTGCTGTTAACTTGCGATTTCTGAGGCTGGTGACTCGGATGAACTTATCCTCAGAAGCAGAGGTGACTCTTGGTCTTCCTTTCCTGGGTCGGTCCTCATGTGTGCCAGTTTCGTTGTAGCGCTTGATGGTTTTTGCGACTCCACTTGGGGACACATTTAAAGTTTTTGCAATTTTCCGGACTGACTGACCTTCATTTCTTAAAGTAATGATGGCCACTCGTTTTTCTTTAGTTAGCTGATTGGTTCTTGCCATAATATGAATTTTAACAGTTGTCCAATAGGGCTGTCGGCTGTGTATTAACCTGACTTCTGCACAACACAACTGATGGTCCCAACCCCATTGATAAAGCAAGAAATTCCACTAATTAACCCTGATAAGGCACACCTGTGAAGTGGAAACCATTTCAGGTGACTACCTCTTGAAGCTCATGGAGAGAATGCCAAGAGTGTGCAAAGCAGTAATCAGAGCAAAGGGTGGCTATTTTGAAGAAACTAGAATATAAAACATGTTTTCAGTTATTTCACCTTTTTTTGTTAAGTACATAACTCCACATGTGTTCATTCATAGTTTTGATGCCTTCAGTGAGAATCTACAATGTAAATAGTCATGAAAATAAAGAAAACGCATTGAATGAGAAGGTGTGTCCAAACTTTTGGCCTGTACTGTACATACTAAGCTTCATGTACATGAAATATCACAACTAGAATGAACAGCTATAAAAACACTATAGATATATAGTATAGGCTGAGGAATAGAGATTTTGGTGAGTTTACTTTGACTTTAAACAACTATTGTTCTCCCTTCCAGCCATCCTGTTTGATTTGTATCAGCGGCCCAGTAGGAAGCACCGTCAAGCTCTCAGATCCAGATGGCAGGACTGTAGACGTTGATAGGTAAATAGTAATTAGAGATGCAGCTTGTAGGATATTACTGTCATGACATCACTGTGGGGTTATTGCAGTAATCCCTTGGATCTGATCAGGTCTAGTATCAAGTGTGAAGTCTGTTGACAACAGTACTAGTTTTTGTCTTGTAGACTAACAGTTCATTGTTAATTTAATTGTCTAAATGATGGATAGCTAGTAAAATAGCTTTTTTGGTATTCAACCCAGACTTTATGAAGCTCAGAAGCAGAACATGTTAATCACACAGGATGTTTTCAAAATTTTCACCAAAGACAGATCAAAAAAATAATACGTGATGCATATTTCTCTGTCAACTTGTCCTTACAGTAACGAGAAATATAGGACGTATAATGATGAAGGCTATGTGAGTTTCAAAGACATCACCTTGCCTGCAAACCTTAATCCTAAGGGCAAAGTGAAGGTGAGGACTTAACAGTCAATATGCATATTGATATCTTGTATGGATGAACAAAACTTTGCTCCAGAACGACATCTTGTGTTTTCTTTCTTTCTTTTTTTGTCTTTTGCAGTTAGAGCACCTCACCTGTCCATTGTTGTACATAGTGGGTGAAGATGACCAGAACTCTTCAATCATAGAGAACGCAGATGTGGTAGACTGTCTTTTTTTTAACTTTTTTTCCCACTGTTGCAAATTATTGTTGTTGGAAAGCATTTATAAAGTATTCCTGGACAAATGTTCAGTGCAAACCATGTTGTTCATAGTATTTAGTTATATGTGGTCTTTGTTATGTCAAACATTTGAGCAGTCAAAGACACAATAACTTTAGTCGTAAATGAAAAAGATTTTTAAAGTTGTTAGCTGTGAGACTCACTGTAATGCTCTAGTATGCATGTGTTTATGAGCTCACTGCAGTGGCGCAGCTAGAATTTTTTTCTAAGGGTGGCCAGATGGGGCCACTGAATCTCTTGGGATGACACAGAATTGAAAAACCATTACTGAAGTTCAAGGATGCTATTAAGCTATTTTAGTATAGGCGAGCTGAAAACTGTTGATATGAGAGTTAAGGAATCACATACTGACATACTTAATTTTATGATTTTACAGTTGATGTACATAGACTAATACCTGCACAGTTAACATTTTGAGTTCCACAACAATCCTGTTTTAATGTGTTATGTACACCCCCAATTAAAAAAAAAGCTGGGACGCTGTATGAAACGTGAATAAAAACAGAATGCTATGATTTGCATATCTTCCAGATTGTTTCTGAAAATCATGGACGTTGTGTCCTCTGGGCTAAAGAGGAAAAGGACTGTCCAGATTGTTTCCAGCTCAAAGTTTAAAGCCAACATCTCTGATGGTATGTGGGTGTGTTAGAGCCCATGGCATCATGGGTAACTTGCACATCTTTGAGGGCTTTGTCAATGTCAAAGTCATATATCAAGCAAGAACGGGAAAGAATTTCACTTCACTGTTTCAAAACATCGACAATTAGTGTCCTCAGTTATCAAGGTGATATAATACAGGAGTAAATATGCTCCTGTCCCAACTTTTTTAGAATGTGTTGCAGGCATCAAATTCAGAATGAGTGTATATTTACAAAAAGCAATCAATTTAATCACATTGAACATTAAATATCTTGTCTTTGTACTGTATTCGATTGAATATAAGTCAAAAAGGATTTGCAAATCATTGCATTTGGTTTTTATTTAGGTCTTACATAGCGTCCCAACTTTTTTGGAAATGGGGTTGTATCTGCATGTGTTAGGCGATTCACTGATCTTCAGTTCATTGTCCTCTCTCTTAAAAAGACAAATATACAGCTTTAATATGAATGAGTACATTTATTGCGAGGAACACATCGTTGACTTGCAACAAGCCCTCTCAAGGAGACTTGTGGGTACCATAGAACCCATTTTCATTCAGATATCTTGAGGTGAGAGTTCAAGGGACCTCTTTGAAAAATGGTCATGCTAGTTTTTCCCTCACCAACAATGAGTAGCCCCCATACCAAAGGATGCCTTAGGTTGTGTAGTTTCACAACATACCACTATCTATTTAATCTAACTAGCTATCTTAAAATGAGGATGCAACAGCCTCTTAGAGACAGCAATGTCTTTAAGTAATTAATTTGCCAGAGGGGAGCCGTTATAGGAATTGTTTCAGGGTGGCCATGGCACCATTGGCTCACTGTAAAGTGTTTGGTTGTTGTTTTAGCTCTGTTTTATTGATCATCAGATCGAGGAGACCCTGAAGGCTGCAGGAAAATCCCATCTGTTCACCCGTGTGTCGTACCCCGGTGCTGGTCACCTGATTGAGCCACCTTACACACCACACACAAGAGCTTCCCTGTGGAGTGTCAAACCCAAAAAAAGTGAGCCCTGTCCCAGAGCTGCATTTTTTTGTTCAGCCAAATCCCATTTAATAACTCTTTTGATTGCATCGTTAATGTCAGACCAGCAAGTGTAATAGAAAGTATTTAACTATTATGGAAAATAATAGTGATAGTAAATCTGTCCTGCTTTGTTTCTCCTGCAGTGTTCACTCTGTGGGGAGGTCACCCTGCACCCCACGCTGCTGCCCAGGAAGATGCCTGGAAAAAGGTCCTGGATTTTATGGAAACTAATCTGAGACGATGAATCTTGACATTAAAAATATCTCATCACAGATGTGATGGAAAATGCTTCATGTCTCTGAGTTTTACATTCAGAGAAGTGAGGGGGGGGAAGACTTTTAAGATAAAAAGGACCTCCCAGAACTAATTAATATAAACTGAATCTGAATGGTGCCTTGCTATGAACCTTGACTCTGTCGCTCCTCTTACAACCAGAGAATGCACTTGGATGAAATCAGCGCCATGGTTGTCAGAGGGCACTCAAATGGGTTTGAGAAAGGCTTGAATGTTGGTGGTGTATGAAAAGGAGACTGTTCGCCTTGCCTGGGTCAAGTGTTTTAAGTAGTATAAATGTGTATTCTCAGCTGCTATGACAACATGTTTTTCTTACCTGATTAACATCAATAAAAATAATCCAGTTTCTGTTTGATGCTGTTGTTAATCAGATACAGAATACCCCTGCCAATAGCTCTTCATTCAATGCTGGTGATTTTCTGAAATTTTTTCAAGTAGGATTGACTCAGTTAGAGATAAAATTACTGGTTAACACTCCTCTCAGAATGACGGCTATGAACTTTCCAATACTTTGACCTATGTGGACGCTGAGGTTTGGACCAACGGGACCCTTCCACAGTTTGAAATAATTTCCCTTTAGGACTATACCAGTGTGGTAACTGCTTCCAAATCTACAGCCTGTATATTAGATCCTATATTGTCTGATCCAGTGATACTCAACTTGTGGGCCAAACCTTGTCCACATTAGGGTGCCAGGGTGGCCCGCTGACCAGTCTAGAGATTTTATTTTTCATAGTTTGAATGAAGATAAGGTGCTAGAGTGCAGAAAAAACATCAAAATAATACTTATTTTATTAAAAAAGGGAGGGGGGGGGGGGGGGGCTTCAAATGCTCTGAGTGTGCTTAAATCCTAGACATGCCCCTGCGTACACCTGACCTGTGGATTTGCCTCTTCGCAAGATGAATAAGGACATCAAATGTTGAAAGGTTTAAGACAGGCAGTTAATTTATTATACACTCATGTCATATTGCAAAAGTGGCCCCCAGGCAAAACAAGTTGAGTATTCCTGCTAAAATCTAAAAGGACCTATTTCCTGGATAGAGTAGTCAGATTATTGAAATTATTATCAAAGTCACTTTCTACAGTATGTGCTCTGTACCCTCAGATTTTAAACCTGCTGCTATTAAATCTTGTCTTAAAAATCCTTACATTGATCTGCAAAAGCTCAACAATTTCAGACCAATTTCATGTCAAAATTACTTCAGATTGTTGATAACTGATCAATTTACCAGAGGAGTCACCAGATGTGTTTACATGCACCCTGATATCTGTAGTATCGTACTGCTGGAAGAGCAAAAAATTATAACACTGACATGATTATAAATCCAGCAAGGAGACATCTGAGTGTTGTAGTTTCTGGAGATACGCCTTTAGGCTCTCTCAAACCTGGAAAACATAGTAGTAGAGAAATGGGTGGAAAGGGTCGTGAGATTTTAGTTTAAATCCAGTAGTTGGCGGTAGTGCAACATTGTAGATGCAAACCACCAGTAAACCGAAAAGAAGAAGGAGGGGGGGTCGCCAAGGTCCACCTTGTCTCGTAAATATTTCCCGTTTTAATATACTGTACAGTTAGAGCCCAGAGACATTGAACTCCGTGTCAGCTCTTTGTGTGTATGTGTGGACATGTCTCTGCGTGTGTAAACAGGAGTGTGTGAGTCGAAGGAGCAGCTGCACGGCTGAGGTCAGGTGAGTGGTAGTTTGATCAGACTGCGATCCTTCAGAGAAACTGTCGCAGCATGAAGCGGTGTTACGATCTGTAGGAGCTTATTATTTCATGACTGTGCAAATCATCATTTCTGATCACTGTTGTGATATGATATTGTAATATTTCCCATGATATATTTAGAGGAGAAGAGTGGAGCAGAAAAGCTGATGTCACTCCACAACGGTAGACTACATACAAATATGTTTATATTTATAAATAAATATTTGTCGTTTACAGCCTTTTAACTTTAACTTGGATCACAACTTTTATTCAAAATGTGAAAAATTGTGAGAGAAGGAGAAATTGTGTGTAGTAAAATGACTAGTGAGAAGTTAGTACGCATGTAGGGGAGACTGGGGTTGGTTGTCACACTTTATACTCGTGTGAATTGCTCATCACCAAAACATCTTTCAGTAGTCATTCGTTTATTAAATGAAAGCTTAAGGCCTTTGCTTGAAATGGGTATCCCTGTCACTTTTACAACTTACTGTGACAAGATGTAATGAACCATCAAAGACACTCTGACACATTGTGACAACTAGTCCCATCATGAGGTTGGTTGTCCCTGCAGTTATCAGTGGAGTTTCAGGAAAAGATAAATATAAAATGATGTAACTTTTTAGTTTTTTAAGATAGAAAGACCAGTTTTGAAATGAAAACCACTTCTATAAGAGTGCTCATCCATGCCCCTTGTGTTTCAACCATGAATTTGAACCAGGTGATTGTTTGAATTATCCTCTGTAATGAGAAGTGAAATGGAGGAATTTACATTACTGAAAAAAAAATCTAGCTTTCATTAAAGCCATTGTTTCATAAGAATTCATTGTGAATATAACATTAAATGAAACAGGTATAAACACATGGTTTTCACTAAATACAGGGAGGAGGGATTACAACAGTCATAATTAATATGTTATATGTAAGTGAGTGTATCTATATGTTGTTTTCGTTGTTACTGTTGTTGTCGTATGTCGTTGTCATTATTGTAGTCGTTATTGTTGTTGTTGTTTGTTGTTGTTTCTTGTTCTTGTTGTTATTATTAGCATTACTATTGTTGTTGTTATTACAGTATTATTATTATTATTATTGATATGAATATTGAGTGAACAAGGGGTAGGACCAGATAAGTTTATACTTCTTCCTACTCCTTTTGAACATGTAAATGAGATGTGAATATATTGTTTTCTTCTCTTTCTAATTGTTTTAATCAATTGCTTATTTATTTATTTATTTATTTTTTTACATCTTCAAATAAATAAAAAATAAATAAATAAATAAATAAATAAAAAACAGTGAAACTGGAATTGATTAATCTTCATCACAATATGACCAGGAAGTTTAGTTAACATATCAAACAGCCGAGGTTAAAGTCTGTTACTTTTTAGTTACAACATTGTTTTATGATGAGGAACTAAAGTCATATTTTGTGTGTGTGTGTGTGTGATAGAAGCCGGCTACAACATGGCTTTAGCTTGCTCACTAAACGTTGACTCAAATCAAAGCTATTACCTTTAACCTTTTATATAAGTTTGATTTTTAAATAACTAATAACCTACAAGCTTTATGCAAAAAAAACCAAACATAATCTGACCCATAAATATTACAAAATATCTTCTCACCTCAGTGTTTTGTGTGTGTTGCACAAAAGTGTGGCTGCAATAAGCACTTTGACAACCAACCCATGTGACAACCAACCCCGGTCTCCTGTACTGTGTACTAAGTTTTGGGGTACTTGTACTTTAGTTGATTAAGATGATATGATTTTGAATGGAGGACTTAGTTGTAACTGAATATATTTATATTAGTATTGCTACTTTTTACAAAAGTAAAGGACACTTTGACACAGTAAGAGGAAACTGGAAAAATACACATTTTCAGGACTCCTTTATCAATTCATTAATTATCTATAACCACGTCTCCGGGCACAGGGTCTGGATCCTATCCCAGCTGACACTGGGCCAGAGGTGGAGAACACTCTGAACAAATAGCCGGACTATCTCGCTGACACATGCAGACAGACACAGCATCACGCTCATGTTCACACGATTCACGTCTGAATCTGACAAACCTTTTCAGCAGAGTGTACAGTCACCCTTGGATCAGTTGTAAGGTTTAATGTGTAACTCTACACCTCCACTCACTGGACAGTTTGACTTTATTTCACCAAACAGACGTGACTCTGGAATGTTTCATGTATCTTGGTGTTTGACCTTCACTCATTTCTTTTTTAAAGGGGAGACAGAAACACCATAATGGTCAGAGCTCATGTGTGTTTGACTATAATACGGCAGCTCATAGAAACCAAGATGATACCATGCATCTGTGTACACCGGAGCCTGGCGTGTTTGCATCGTGCTGTGGGTAAGATTGTTGTTCTTAACTGTGTTATTATTTGAGGTGTTTGTGAGTTTGGCAGTGAAATCTAGTTTGAATGTTTAAATGTGCTACAATAATATTACAGGTTTACAACTGCTGCTTTTATTATAAAACGTTTGAGTGTGACGTATGTGAGCATCTCAGATAATTTAATTTCCTGCCAGCTACATGCAAATATTATTCAGGATTAATGTTTAAACTGAAGTCCTTGTCTATAAATGATTTCCTGCCATCTCCACCAGGGAGGTTGTATGTTCTACATGATTTCTCTTTATGATTGTTTGGACTCCACAGCTTCCTGAAGAGGACAAATCTGCGTGACAGGCCTGTCCAAGCAGTTTGTCCTGGTCTTGAGCTTTAATTGTCGCACAAGTCCTCCTTTATCTGGAGCAGCGTCAATAATATTCCCCACAATGAACCAAGAATTACGAGGTGTAGAGTCATCCACACTGAGCACAGTATCACCAGGAATGAAATTTCACCTCACTCTGGTCCACTTCTGACCTTCTTGAAACTGCAGCAGCTACTCCTTTGTCCATCTCTCCCAAAACAAATTGGACATTTACTGTACTATTTGCATCTGGGCACTGCATCCTCCATGTCAAAGATACCAGGTGGCAACGATGGTTGACCCTTGGAGAGCAGAAGGTGGTTGGAAGTCAAAGCCTCTAAGTCATCAGGATCAGCGGGTGCCTTTGTTATTGTTCGGCTATTCAGAATAGGCTGTAAATATGTCAGCTGTTAATGTTGTAATGTTGTGCCTGAAGCCTTTTACCCAGGAAATATTCTTTTAGGCTTCCCAACACATCCCAAGTGTTTGTGTTTAAGTGTCTCTGGAGCTTTGATGGTTTTTAGCACCTCATTTGACAGGATTTCACCACATTGAACACGCTGTGCTTTTGGCTCATCATCACAACCTGTCATTATGAATCCAGATTTAATGTATTCAGAATCATATTTCCTCACCACACATTTTGATTTTCAACTTTTACTGGAGCAGGGTTGTCTCACATCATTTTTCTTTTTCAAAAACTGATCTGTTTTGTGTCACTGCATCTGAGGCAATGTTAGCGAGCTAACAGTAGCAAAACACTTCTCGAGCTGATGTGTTTGGTGTGGTGATATTCAAATATAACTGGTCGCTGAAATTCTGCCTTTTCATTTGATGTTTTTTATTTGTGTTAAGTTTTGATCATATTTAGATATAAAAAGCTGGCTTTGTAAAATACAAAAAAAAAAAAAAAAAAAAGAGAGTTTGATCTAACCAA